ATTACAGCCAAAGGCGTAATCCCTTCACCCTTAAGTGATCTACTAGTTGTAAACTTTCATCTCTGTGTACACTGATCCTCCTCCTCCTCCTCCTCCTCCTCCTCCTCCTCCTCCTCCTCCTCCTCCTCCTCCTCCTCCTCCTCTTCTCCCAGGACTCCAGCTGCCCCCATCCTTGTCATCTGGCCACTTTCCCATTGGTTTTCTCCTTAGGCATCTTTTCTCCCAAGCTGTTTGGCGCACAGGTTGGGCTCAGCGAGCGTTTCTTCCTGGGCTGGCTGAAAAGTCACTTATTGCACCAAGCTGTTAGTATTTGGGGAGCCCTGGGTGGGCTGCACTGATGCCAGTTTGGGCAAGCGAAGGTCAACGGGGAGAAAAAAAAATCCCTTCCTTTGCTACTTTGCGGCTATAGAGAATAGAAGACCATCAGCAAGTAATTGCTGAGACTATCAATAGCATTTAAAAATAAACATTCAAGATGCCTTTCTTAAAGCTGCTGCTGCTGTTGGTGGTGTTTATGGTGATATAACAGAATAGCAGAGTTGAAAGGTACCTTGGAGGTCATCTAGTCCAACGCCCTGCTCAGGCAGGAAACCCTATACCACTTCAGACAAATGTCTGTCCAGTCTCTTCTTAAAAACCTCCAGTGTTGGAGCACCCACAACTTCTGGAGACAGGTTGTTCCATTGGTTAATTGTCCTCACTGTTAGGAAATTATTTTCGGAGTTAAAAAAATAAATTTGAAAATAAAAAAGTTTTAAAAAGAAAAGGTAAAAGTGCAGAAGACAGAAGATAGCAAAAGAAAAAAAAAGAATTAAAGACGCTATATACCATCTTCCTTCAGCATTTACAAACTTATTATCCCTCACCGTTTCATTTTTTTTCCACTTCCAGCAAAAAGAAGAATTCCTATTTTTGCAAAATAATACAAAAATTGCATTCCTATAGAGATGGTGATGATGATGGATGATAATTTCTGTTAGATATGCTGGATGGTTTTTTTTTTCCTGCATCCTCCTCCCAGTTCCAGTCATCTTTTATCTCTTTTTTTTTCTTTTTTACTGTCTTTAATTCTCCCATTGAACACCAAACCATGAGGCCTTGCCAATCCTGTTGGTCTCCAACTTCCATCAATGTTAGTCAATACAACTTGTAATGGGACCTATAGTCCAAGCACTTCTGGAGAATCAGCCACTCCTCCTTGCTACCAAAGCAATGGGCTGGAAAATGTTATGATCGCATGAAAGAAAACAGCAGATGTTGAGGCTTTAATAGTAGAAGATGCCTCGGCTGAAGATCTAATGACCTCTAATGCCCGGTTAGGACCAGACAAAAAATATGAGGTCCTCTAGATAGAACCGTGTTGCCTAACCTTGGCACCGTTAAGATATATGGACTTCGTCTCCCAGAATTCCTCAGTCAGCATACTGATTGGGGAAATCTGGGAATTCAAGTCCATGCATGCTTGCCTTGTCCTCTGTAAAACATGAGTTTGTTTGATGGGTCTTCAAAAAAGGGAAGGAAGGGAGGGAGGGAAGGAGGGAAGGAAGGAAAGAGGGAGGGAGGGAAGGAAGGAGGGAGGGAGGGAGGGAAGGAAGGAAGGAGAGAAAGGGGAAGTGGGGAAGGGAGGGAGGGAGGGAGGGACAGAGGAAGGAAGGAGAGAAAAGGGAGGTGGGGAAGGGAGAGAGGGAGAAAAAGAAAGATAAGAAAGAAAAAAGAAGAAAAGAAAAAAGTGAAAAAAAGAAAAGACAAAGATTGAGCTTATGGTCTTTATGATTAAAGATATTCGAATCATATTCTGATATTCATGAGTGCAGCATTGGGGGGGTGGAGTGTGAGGCAAGCAATACGCTTGGAAACACCGTGTGCATTAAGAAATCGAATACGCAGCACGGCACACAAACTACAACACTGCCTGCAATGACAACTTGGTTCTTTGCTTGTGCGGTTCTCCCCTCTTCCTTCATCTTTGCGCTCCCCGGCCCTTCTTTGCCTCTTGTCCAGAGGCCATTCGAGGCCAAGGGATCCTGCAATTCCCCTGCCCAGGTGCGAATGCACTGACGTGGCAGGGGCCCCCCTGGACACATCCCCAAAATGCTTTGTCTCCTCCAGCCGCCGGAAATAACGCGTTGTGGCAGGTGGAGAGATGCTACAGACTCAGAGTATCTGCTGTTGGGGGTGGGGGGAGCGACCTTCTGAGCATGCTTCCCGATGCCTGTTTTGAATCGAGGAGGTCCTGTTTGGGGCAGAACCCCTCAGAATTTGCTTCCCGGACTGCGCAGAGCAAAGGAGACGCCCTTGAAGACGTCAGGTCTGCTCCAGGCCCTCCGTTCTGATCCTCTTTTGGGGCTCTCCGAAGTGCTGTGTGATCAAACAAGGAGGCTTTCAAAGAGAGACTGGACAACCGTTTGTCTGAAATGGTATAGGTTAGAATCTCCTGCTGGAGCAGGAGGCTGGACTAGAAGACCTCCAAAATCCCTTCCAACTCTACCAACCTACGTTGTATGTTCCCCGTGTTCTCTAGGGAAAGCAAGAGGCATTTGCACCCGTCTTCATTGCTTTCCATCTGTGTCTTGCTGTAAGACACTCCTTTCGAATTTAGCCTGCTCGAATGAAGATGGAGGGGAAAGTTAGACATTCCTTGACTTGATGACTGCTCAAAGTCACAGACCCTTCAGAAGCTACCGATGATCGGGTTTCGAAGTTTCGAAGGACAACACACACACACAATGCAGTCAGGTGACTGCAGTTGCAACCGGTCTACCTTTACAGCCATTTGCAGCATTCTGTTTATGACAGGTTTGTCTCCAGTTTCCAGCAAAACCCAGCCCTTAGCAAACAATGGGCTTGCTTTACACAGATTGCTGTGTTTGCATAACAAATGCTGCAAAAACAGAGGTTGTAAAATTGGGACAGTCGGTCACGTGATGACCTGCTTTACAACCATCGTGACGGATGACTGTAATTTGTCAGGCTCAATTACGGTCGTAAGTTTGAGGACCGCCTGTACGTTAATTCCGAGCTGAGTATAACTGTAGCTCATTCTGTAGATCTCAACAAGCGTAAGTCAAAAATAGTTATCACAGGAAACTCGTCCTTTTGAAATTGTGCGCTTTGCAAATTGTGCATCTGGCTAACAATTTGTTTGTGGGGTGGGCCTTCGCAGACCAGGAAGGACTCCCAACATTGTAGGCTAGACGAAAAGTTGAAAAAAGAAAAATAACCCAGAAGAGCTGGTGCACCTTTTACATATTCCGTCAAGAAAAATATATGTGTCCACAATAGCAGGGGACGAACTTGGCTAAAAAAGAGATTTTTTTTACAAACATTAGATGAACCTCTGCTGCTATTAGTGCTACAAACGTCCGTAGGAAATGCAAGCTGTCCATTTATGAAAACAATATACGGAATGCATGAACCGTTTGCAAAGATGACATTAGCCAAACATTTTCTAAAAAAGAAAAATGACAATAGAGAAAAAAATGTACTGTAAAATGTATAGATACCTTTTCTTTCTTTCTCTTTCTTTCTTTCTTTCTTTCTTTCTTTCTTTCTTTCTTTCTTTCTTTCTTTCGTTCTTTCTTTCTTTCTTTCCTTCTTTCTTTCTATCTTTCTTTCTCCTGCCTTCCTTCCTTCTTTTTTTCTTTCTTCCTTCCTTCCTCCCTCCCTCTTTCTTCCTTCCTTCTTTCTTTCTTCCTTCCTTCCTCCCTCTCTCCCTCTTTCTTCCTTCCTTCATTCCTCCCTCTTTCTTTCTTTCTTTCTTTCTTTCTTTCTTTCTTTCTTTCTTTCTTTCTCTTTCTTCTACCCTGCCTCCCTCTCTCTCCCTCTTTCTTTCTTCCTCCCTCCCTCCCTCCCTCTTTCTTCCTTCCTTCCTTCCTTCCTTCCTTCCTTCCTTCCTTCCTTCCTTCCTTCCTTCCTTCCTTCCTTCCTTCCTTCCTTCCTTCCTTCCTTCCTTCCTACACAGTGCTTGCCTTTGACAAACCAAACTCAACAGCCTTACCCAAAGGAAAAACTGATTGAAATTGACATGGTGGACAGAGATTTTTTCCCCCCAGCCGGGCGCTTGCCTCGCAGACATTTAGCAAGTGTCCGAGATAAGCCAAAGCGGTGTGCAAAACAGGGAGAGCCCTTCCCCTTCGCTGGCTGTGGAGGAAAGTTCACTCTCCATTCCTTTGTTGCCTTTAACGGGTGTTTTTTTCATTCCTTTGTTGTACTTAATGGCCGTTAACCCTGCTGTTTAATTCAAAGGGCGCCTAGGGCTGCTTCCCCAGAACAAGCAGTGGAGAGCTCCTGCCTCCGGGGTTGCCATGCAAAGGGAGCTGCAGAAGAGCAAAAGGAAGGAAGGAGAGAGAGAAAGATCAGATGCTGCTTTGAAAGACACTGGTGTTGCCCCACTGGCTGGGGTAGGAATATTTGCATACAGATAACAATAGCCATAAGCAAAGCACTGAGACTTATACACCGCTCCATAGCGCTTTAAAGTTCTCTCTGAGTGGCTTATAGAGTCAGCATATTGCCCCCAATCCTTCCTTCCTTCCTTCCTTCCTTCCTTCCTTCCTTCCTTCCTTCCTTCCTTCCTTCCTTCCTTCCTTCCTTCTCCTGATTTTCCTTCCCTCCTTCTCATTTTCCTTCCTTCCTTCCTTCTCCTGATTTCCCTCCCTTTCTTCCTTCCTTCCTTCTCCTAATTCCTTTTCCTTCCTTCCTTCCTTCCTTCCTTCCTTCCTTCCTTCCTTCCTTCCTTCCTTCCTTTTCCTTCTTTCCTTCCTTCCTTCCTAAGCAAGAGCACTTAGACTTATGTATTGCTCCATAGTGCTTTACAGCTCTTCCCGAGTGGCTTGCAAATGCCAGCCTATTCCCCCCCCCCCAAACAATCTGGGTCCTCATTTTACCAACCTCGGAAGGATGGAAGGCTGAGTCGACCTTGAGCTCCATCAGAGGCCTGCAATTGGGGGCCAACGCACTGCCCTGCCATAAATGCATTCTTTTGATTTCTCTCTTTTCAGAGTAAGCTGCAGATCCGAGCAAGCTGGGGAGAAGGGCTGACTGCCTGGTGCCCAGCAAGGGATCCCTGGAGTTTGGTTTGGTTGGAAGCAGCCATGTCAAAGGATGAAGCAGGTTGTAAGTTGGCCCCGGTCTACAAGCACAAGGAACGCAAGCCTAAGAAGCCCCATTACATCCCCCGTCCCTGGGGAAAGCCCTACAATTACAAGTGCTTCCAGTGCCCATTCACTTGTATGGAGAAATCGCATCTCTACAACCACATGAAGTACAGCCTGTGTAAGAATTCCTTGTCTCTGCTAATCGAATCGGACTGGTCCTACAAGAAAGGAGGCCTTCTCCATCCAGAACTTCGGCTCTTGCAAGCCACAGAGACTTCTCAGCTCCGTGGGAGGCGAGAGGAGCCTGAGACATATGACCCGATGGGGATGGAGGCCACTCACTCCAAACATGAAGCAGAGCGAGAGGGTGGAGAAGGCAAGACCACAGGGACAGAAGATGTGGCCTGCTCGGAAAGGATGAGTGATGAAACCAGCCAGTTCCAAGAAGAAGAGGAGGAGGAGGAGGAGGAGGAAGAAGAAGAGTTGTCTAGGTTCTTGCAGGAGGTAGACACAGCTGAGAAGAAGGTCAAGGAAACCCTATCTGCTGGGGAGACCTCTGAACCAGATGTGAACACCCTCCTTTTTCAGCTGAAAAACAAGCAGGAGAAGGCCTCCAAAGATCCTACCCCTGACTTCATCATCACGGATGTTTTCTCCTTAAAGAAGCACATGTCCAAAGGAAAGGAGATGGCCTCTATGGAATTGGACCCCAAACCAAAGCATTGCAAAATGCCCTCCAAATGTTCAGGAAGCAGCGGGGTCTTCATGGAACAATGGAAACTGGTGGCCAACGGGCAGCGGAGAAGCACCACTGGGGTTCTGGCTCCCTGCACCGATGGCAACGTCATCCCTTGTTACCCTCCTCCAGCTTACGGTGATTTCCACGAATCTCAAGGCCTCAACTTCTCTCTGCTGGGGATCAACTACCCCCTGGCTCCCAACCTCTTCTCCTATTTCAGCCCTTCGGTGACCAATGGGGCCACTTCCCATTCCCACTTGGCCCAATTCCCCTTCCTGGCCTCCACAGCCCAGCTGATGCACCCCCATTCGGCTCACTTCCAGTCCTTGCAGAGCCCCGACAGGTCCACTTTCCTTCCACGCTTCTACTACCCTCTGCTTTTTGAACATTCCTTCACTTCGGCAGAAAGCAAGATGGCGCCCACTAAGCCAGACACTCAGCAACTGCCTGCCGCAGCCATACCTGCGCCCCTCCAGCCCCAGATCTCCACGGACCCCCCAAAAGGAGGCGTGTTGAAAGCACCAGTGCTGAAGACAGACCTTCCTTGGGTGAAAGGTTGCCGTGAAGACCCTCTCCCTGAGCAGGGCCACAAAAGATTGCTACTGCAGGAGGAAGAGAAGAAATGGCTGGTCCATGAGAGGGAAAGCTATTCCTTGCTGGCTACTGGCCATCTCTGCAGAAAGTCATCTCCTGAGGGTTACCATGGTCTCCTAGGCATAAAAGAGGGGGCTGCTGTTCTCCACAACAGCGTCAAGAAGCCAGAGATCACAGGAGCTGCTGGTCTGGACAATGGTGGAGTCACCCCAAGTAACCTGAAGAGGAAATTTGCCAAAAGCGGCCTTCATTTGGCAAGCTCTGATATGACAACACCTGAAAACGAGATCTATCCACCCAGGTATGACGTGCTCTCTTTCTCCATTCATTTGTTATTGTTCAGTTGCTAAGTCATGGCTGACTCTTTGTGACCCCATGGACCATAACAGGCCAGGCCTAACTGTCCTCTCCTATCTCCCGGAGTCTCTCCAAATTCACGTTCATATCTAACCATCCCAACCTCTGCCCGTCTCTTTCTCCCTTGGCTTCCCATCTTTCCCAACATCAGAGTCTTCTCCAGTGAGTCCTCTTTTCTCATTAGCCAAAGAATTTGAGCTTCAACTTCATTAACTGTCCTTCCAAAGGACAGTCCGGGTGGATTTCCTTTAGAGGTTGACTGATGGGGTCTCCTTGCAGTCCATGGACCTCAAGAGTCTCCTCTAACACCACGATTTGACAGCGTCCATTCTTCTCTCCATTCGTGCACATGGCATAAAGTCTATTGTCCAGCTGGGATGGACAACCTTTCAGAGATCGAGGTCCAGAATCCAACTTCTCAACTTCCCACATTTGGGCATCCTATGGTGTTTTAAGGATGACCACATTTATACTGAATGCACCCCCGGTTCAAAAACCAGTCTGAGATCCCACCACTCAGATTCAAACTCGAAGTTTTGATGGCCTGCTCTTCGGAAAAGAGGGAGCTGGGGGTTGGATTGTGAATGAAACACCTTTTCTCTATGGCTTTGGAACATATTTTTCTCCCACCTGTACTGTGTATGCAAAAGGAGAAAGTACCCCTCAAAGCTTCCTCTGATGCGTGGGTAGAATCTTCAGCTTTTTATTAAAAAAATAAACAAGGTTGGGGGGGGGATATCGGCTGCTGGCAATAGACCCTCTCCCCCAGTTCATGGACCCAAGGAAACAGAGAAACAAAGGCAGGTTGGATTAGATCCAAGGCTCTCCAAACTTGGCAAATTTAAGATTTGTGGATTTCAATTCCCAGAATTCCCCAGCCAATATGGCTGGCTGAGGAATTCTGGGAGCTGAAGTCCACAAATGTTAAAGTTACCAAGTTTGGAGACCCCTGGATTAGCTAGAAGCAAGCTAGAACAAAACTGGTATGTCTCTTTTTTTACCCCAGCTCTAGGTTACAAGGAAGGGAGAGTTTTATAAAGGCTAGCATTCAGCAAGCTAAGTCATAAACTGTAGTTTACAAACTCCAGTGATTGGCTGCGAACACAACCACACTGTTTATGCCAGGGTCACCCACTGGTTGAATTCATACAGCTTATTTTTCCCAGGCTACTGAAATCCTTCATGGCTATATTTCCTAGCATTTTGAAAACTGGCCTTGTTGGTGGTTTGATGGCTGAAAGTCTTGTGTGAATCCAAGAAATGGATTAATTGGATAACGGCCTTAAATATATTCAATGCATTTCCTGAGGAATGACGAAGCCACGTCTTCTCTCTTCCTGTCCCAGCTGGGTGTCTTCTGCTGTGCTAACTAATCTTCTGGCTTTTAGAAAAGTCATGGAGTCCTGTTGAAATGATGGTGACACGGTTTCTGCTTTGATCTGTTTAGTATGTGAAAAATTCAGAATATAAGAAGTGGCCTTGTACGGTGTGTAACCATTAGCCTCTGTTGATTGCAGGTTTCCCTTCGCCTGTTCCATAGTCTGCAATTTGAGACATGGAAAAAAAGCTTAGATCATGATTAGATAATGGATCATGCACATTCCTTTCTTTGACATTTTGTTCTATTTTATTGATAGTTTTTTTTCCTGTCTGCTTTTTACCCTTCTACCAGCAGTGGTTTGCAAGTTACACCCAGACAAGCTTCAAAGTCCATGGACCACTGGCAGGTAGAACTTCATGAACATCACTCTGAAGGCCAGGAGAAAACCGGGACCTACGAGATGATTACCGCTTCAGACCAGCCCGTTTTAAAACCAAGCAACGATCAAACCATAACTGTTGATCCAAGAGACCAAGAGATGACCACCGTGCTCATTGGAGACTTGTCAAAAACCTTAGAAGAATATCAAGAGGTAGAGAAGAAGCTCTCCCATTTGGCAAAAGAGGACACTCCTGCACAGAAGCAACTTAGGGACCAGTTAGTCAAAGTCCGGCAGGAACTTTTCCATATCCACCAGGCGCTGGAGAAGGCAAACAAGTTCAGCGATGATCCTTTGGATCTCTCAGTGAAAAGGTCTTCAAAAAATCCGGAGAAAAGTCACCAAGACAAGAAAGAGTCCAAGGTTGCCATCCAAGGAGAGAAGGTCCAAGGCAAAGACCTGGGTTCCACCAATAAATGTTTGGAGATGGGTGAAGCTGGTCTAGAAGAGAGATCAGATGGTTTCCTTGAGACTCAGAACAAAACCATCGACCTGCTAATCAAGATGAGCCATTCCAAAAACATCCGAAATTCCTCTTCCGAGACCCACCTGGGAGCTGTAATCAAAGCCGAAGTGCTTCCCCTTAACGTCCCACTCGAATTCAGGCATGTAATGGAACCTTACTATAGCCATACTACCAAATGTGAGGCGGATTCCAGTGTCCTGCTCTGCAGCGATGGAAGAGCAAATGGCAACCAAGCCCCACCACTTTCTGTGACTGAAGAAGCTCCATTAGGATGCCGGGCAATTCCATGTTCTTTGTCCTGCAATTTGCCCAGTGAGACTGGTGAGGTGTAGAGTCCAAAACTTCACATTTGCCCTTTGAGCCAGAAGAAACAGACATTCAAATCTGGAAACCCCCTGGTCCATCACTGTAGTGTTTCGAACTTGGAGGATCCAGATGGTTTATAAAGCATTTCTCGTCCACATTTTATGAATGACATGCGAGTTGTTGGCAAGGTCTATTTCTCCATTAACGTCTCTCATTGCATCTGCAGGGGAAGGGGACAACTCACCACGGGGCAAACCACTACCGCCAACTCGCTACGGGACAAGAGTTACACTCATACCGAAGAAATAGTGGAATAGAATTGTGAAAGGAAGGATGCCCAAGGAGAGACAAAACGAAATGGGAATGACAAAAATTGAAACATTTTAAAATTATTTTCAAATAATTGTAGAATTGTCCCGTGGCAAATTGGCCATGTCAAGTTGTCCCGTGGCGTTGGCTGCGGTAAGTTGGCCACAGCAAGTTGACTGTGGCAAGTTGATTGTGGCGAGTTTTTCGTAGACCTGGACAGGGTGAGTGCAGTGGGAAGAGAGAGTAAGAGAGGGGTGACAAGTTTTTTCAGAAGGACAGGTGCCTTTGCATTCTAGAAGGTCCAATCCATCTTTTCCCCTGGCCAATTGAGCAAAATGCATTGTCTGATGCCAAATCTTCTCCTTGGGATCAAAGCTAGAGCTATTTCTGGATATCCTTCTTGTTCCCAAGAATTCAGCGCCCATGATAGTCCTTCTGATCCAAATAAAAACTGCTGCAAGATAAATTGCGGATTAACTACAGTCCCAGTTGCCTTTTTTAAAAGCAGAAAACGTTTAAAGAACTTGCATGAGAAACCACGGTTCTTCAGAATCCGCTAAGTTCCTGAACAATTGTCCAGGTTCCTCTAAATGGATCCCATTCCTAGCCCCTGCTTTACTTTAAAGTCTTCTTTTGATTTAAATTCTTCCTCCAGAATTCACCATATAAATTGTCTCAGTTTTGAACAAGGATGGGGAACCATTTAATTATTATTTTTTTCCTGCAGCTTTGTAAAGGCTAGTAGAGCACGCTTCTAAGCTTTTCTCCTTCTTGACAAGCTTTTGCACGAGAGATCATCTTCTAGACATTGCAGATTGATTTAATCATCCCTGCTCCAGGCATAATCGTGCTGGCTTTTTCACAAACGAGTTAGACCTTTCCAAGCAAAATCTCTGCCCTCAAATTAGAGGGATTGAGAAGACAGTTACACTGGACCTCGTCAAACTTTCCACCTTCTGTAAGACAAAATGATTATAGAAAAGGAAGCAAGGCTCTCTTGGAGACAACTGGAGAACTGGTTGACCTACTAGCTTTCTAGCTAAACATCGGTAGGACAGTTTCCTGAATCAAGGGTTTCCTGTGCTCTTTGATATTTTTCTGAACATTGCAAAATGCCTACTAGAAGTATCAATGACCAACCATCTCAGTGAGTAGCACTGGAGTATCAGTACAGGCACCCAACACCAGTGGTGGGATTCAGCCAGTTCATAACACTTCAGCAGAACCGGTAGCTAATTTTTTTGTTTCCCAGGCCCAGAACGGACTTGTGGAAGCGGCATCCACCCAGAGCACCGCTTGTTCACATATTTGAATCCCACCACTGGCCAAAACTAACATTCATCAGCACAGAATTCAACGCTTTTGCTGAGGATGCAGTAATAATGCACTTCTGAAGTTGAGTGTGAAGGCACACAAAAATTAGGGATGAAATAAAAGCATCCACTGCAGTATTTTGCTTTTCTTTCGTAAGGGTTCCTTGTCATCAGACTGAATTGTGTTATGCCCCGATGACATACCCATCGCTCTAACCATCTCTGAAAAGTAACCCTTCAGTCAACGCTGGGGCAAATTTCCACTGCACTTGTTGTGTCAACCACTGACAATCACTAGTGGAGAAGGTGTGTCCTAAGGTTATTTATTTATAATGTGGAATGGTGTTCTGAGGAGAGAGAATGAGAGAGAGCATTCACGTGTTATTTATTGTCCACCGTTACAAACTTGTACAAAAATATAGACAGTTAAATTAAAAACATTTGGAAGTTAATGTCCGAGCCTCTTTGCTAACGTTTGAATGGGAAATCTTTCTGTGAAGTACTACTTTATAATGGTAAGAGCACACTTGGAACATTGCATCCAGTTTTGATCACCACAATATAAAAAAGATGTTGAGGGTCTAGAAAGAGTGCAGAGAAGGAGCAACACAGATGATTAGGGGACTGGAGGCTAAAACATATATAAGGAACGGTTGCTAGAATTGGGTATGTCTAGTTTAATGAAGAGAAGGACGAGGGGGGACATGATAGCAGCGTTCCAATATCTCAGGGGCCGCCCCAAAGAAGAGGGAGTCAGGCTATTCTCCAAAGCGCCTGAAGGCAGGACAAGAAGCAATGGATGGAAACTAATCAAGGAGAGAAGCAACCTAGAACTAACAGTTCCTGACAGTTAGAACAATTAACCAGTGGAAAAATTTTCCTCCATAAGTTATGGGTGCTCCATCGCTGGAAGTTTTCAAGAAGAGATTGGACAGCCATTTGTCCAGAATAGTAGAAGGTCTTCTGCTTAAGCAAGTTGGACTAGAAGATCTCCAAGGTCCTTTCCAACTCATTTATTCTGTTCTGTTCTGTTCTGTGATGATATAATATGGATTCTGTTCTGCTAGAAGATACTGCCATAGTAGCACCAATGCCTGTTCATCTCAAATTCATCTAAATCGGGGGTCCCCAAACTCTTCAGCTCATCAACCCCTGATTGTTCCTTAATCTTCAAACATTTATTATATGAAACTAATTTAATAAATACCTTAATTGTAATATGAATAATGATAACATTAACAGCAATCATGGATAGCCATCGGTCCTTAGGGTTTGATATTGACCACTTAGGAGAATCTTGATCTAAATCTTCCTCATCTCCATTTTCTTTAGCAAATAGAAATGAATATTTAGGGGACATATAATGAAGTTAAACATAGGTAGCAGATGAGCAGATGGGATGGGAATTGCTGTGCCAAAAAGTACTAGGGAATAGTCCGTGACTTATAATTCATTTAGTGACCGTTCCAAGTTACAATGGCACTGAAAAAAGGGACACATGACCGTTTTTCACCCTTAAGGCCATTGTAGCATCTGCGTGGTCACATGATCAAAATTCGGACGCTTGGCAACTGACTCGTACTTATGACTGTTTCATTATCCCGTGATCACTTTGTGCAACCTTCTGACGAGCCAAGTCAGTGGGGACGCTGGAGTCCCTTAATGACCTTGTTGCCAACTTAACAACTGCAATGATGCACTTCACAACTGGTGGCAAGAAAGGTCATCAAATGCGGCAAAACTCACTTTACTGTCTCAGCAACAGAGGTGTGAGGCACAGTTGTGGTCGTAAGTCAAGGACTGCCTGTATTTTTATTGCACAGATCCATTCGCATAAGGTAATCTCCAGGGCATATTATGATTTCAATTCTGCCTTGCATTTATCGCCAGTTCCCCAACTATATCCTAAATATCCTTGCTCTCAAATTTCTCCTTCTTTCATCCTCTCTGTATTTTATAGTCCTTTATATGGCAGTAATAATAATAATAATAAAGTTGGAAGGGACCTTGGAGGAAGCAGGAAACCCTATACCATTAAAGGTCCACAAGTACCTTTAAAGACAACTGAAATAATTTAAGAGAAGGTTTACATCAGTATTTTACTTTGGTGTAAGGGCTGCCTCACTCATAATCATAAGGACTCGCTTGCATCTTACATTATTGCAAATCAAACCATAAGACTACCCCAATCAAGGAATAACCAACTCAGACAAACAATCTAACAGTAAATAACAGTCAGATTCAGGAACTACCAAGAATACACCCACCAACACTGACAGGGCAAGTTCTCTGTATATAAACAGAAAACAAACCTCCCTCCCTTCTAGCACTGATGATGCAACCAAGATGGGTAATGAAATGTCTGCAAGAAAACCACCAAGCTCAGAGATCACCAAGGATCCCACAGTCCTCCTCCTCCTCCTCCTCTCCACTTCCTTCTAGCACTGATGATATTCCCTAGGTGGGTCATGAAACGTCTGCAAAAAAACCACCAAACTCAGAGAGCACCAAGGACCCCACAATCCTCCTCCTCCCTGCAAATCCCACTCCCTTCTAGCACAGATGATGCTACCAAGGTGAGTAATGAAGAGAAAATCAACTAAGATAATCAAAGGCCTGGAGACTAAAACATACAAAGAACGGCTGTGGGACTTGGGTTTGGCTAGGCTAAAGAAAAGAAGAAATAGGGGAGACAGGATAGCAGTATTTCGGTATCTGCCACAAGGCAGAAGGGGGCCAGGTTGTTCACCAGAGCACCAGAGGGAAGGACGAGAAACAATGGCTGGAAACTGATCAAAGATAGAAGCAACCTTGGAATTAAGGAGAAACTTCCTGACAGTGAGGACAATCAACCAGTGGAACAGCTCGCCACCAGAAATCGCGGGCACTCCATCATTGGAGATTATTAAGAAGAGACTGGACAATCACCTGTCTGAGACGGTATAGGTTCTCCTGCTTGAGCAGGGAGCTGGACTAGAAGACCTCCAAGGTCCCTTTCAGCTCTATTCTATTCTCTAAACCAAGTTCACCTAAGAATATATAATATTTGGTTCACTGATTGAGTGAATTCTCAGGCCTACTTAATCTGATGACTGAACTACTCCATTTTGCCAGATTTATGCAATTGCTGAACAGCAGGCGAATAAAAGAGTCTGGATTTACAGAACATACGAAGCCCCAGAAAACTGGCCAAGCTAACCCCTTTGTCCAGAATGATATCGGATCTCCTGCTTGGACCTCCAAGGTCCCTTCCGATTCTGTTACAGGTAGTCCTCAACTTACGTCCAGAACTAAGCCCAAGATTTCTGTCGCTAAGCAAGACAGTTGTCCGCTGAATTTTGTTCCATTTTATGACCTTTCTTGCCACAAAATTGAATCACCGCAGTTGTTAAGTTAGAAACACAGTTGTGAAGTGAATCTGGCTTCCCCCATTGACTTTGCTGATCAGAAGGTCACAAAAAGGGGAACACGTGACACCCCCCCCCCAGACACAGCAACCGTCACGAGTCAATTACCAAGCATTTGAATTTTGATCACATGACCCCAGGGACGGCTGCAACGGGCGTAAGTGTAAAAAAAAACAGCCATAAGCCACTTTTTGGGGGGGGCGGTTGTAATTTTGGTCACTAAATGAACAGTTGTAAGTTGAGCACTACCTGTGTTTTGTTCTCTATTCTGGATTCCAGCCCCAGCCAACATGGCCAAGGTCAACGGCTGATGTCAATAAGCACGTTGGGTGTGTTTGTTCTTAACTGGAACAAAAGGACAAAAAAATAAAAAGCTACCCAGAACAGCCAGAACATAGCTGGCAGGGAGGTAAAATGAGGCGAAAGGGAGAGAATTGTTGTGACGCTGCAGGCTGCAGGGTGGAGGGCAGAGAGTGAATGAGGCCAACAAGACTCCCAAGTTCAAAAAGCAAAGGCATTTAGCTTTACGCTGAAATAATGGAATAGGGGTCGAAGAACTCACAGGCTCTTATCCTGCCTCTCATCAGTCCCTGCGGGCACCCAGCTCTCTCCAGCGCCAGCCCATTACACGGTGGTTTGGTCAACCTGAAGGCATCTGATAGCCAGCCTTCTGGAGGGTTGATAGGCATCTGGGTTGGTCTCAGGTGAGCGAAGATGGAAGCCTGCTTTGCTCCGAAGCATTCAAAGTCACCTCGCCTGCTTTTGCTTTGTGCCTCTTCGTCCATGGCGGCCACCTTCTGCTGCTAAGGAAATGGCTCTTGACAGATTCTGCAGCCAACACGGCCCAGGGTAAATCTGTGCCTGAACAAGGGAATCAAACCGGCTTTCCAAATTCTCGCAGGTCCTGCTGCATCAAGAGCTGCAGAACTTCAGAGCGCCACCAGAGGGCAGCTCAGAGGTATGGAAATGGCTAACTCTTTAGCGCCATCTAGTGGTTAACTGAAAATTTGCAGACTTGATAGGAAAGCTCTCCCTGCAATGAGGAGACTGAAAACAGCAGCATCAGCCCTGGAAGGAATCGCCACCAAGCCTTCTTCTAAAATCCTAGAGCAGGAGTCTTCAAACTTGGCCCTTTTATGACTTGCGGACTCAACTCCCAGCGTGCTGGACTGGACTGGACTGAACCATGATGAAGACTTTTCCTTCAACAGTGCAAAACCATTGTTGGTTTTAATTAGGTTGTTTGAACAAGGTGCAGTTGGCTGGATTTACAACAAAGGCCGCCACCATGGTTTACGCAAGTATGCACGGATGTCAAGTTTAGCAATGTGTGTTGACTTCGCACGAATATGAGAAAAGCTTTGTAAAACCTGTAACAGAGTTTCTCAGCTTTGCCACCTTGAAGAAGTGGGGACTTCAGGTCCCAGAATCCCCTAGCCAACAAGCTAGGGATGAAGGAACTTCAACTCCCAGAGTTCCCTTGCCTGTTGGCTAGAGAATTCTGGGAGTTGAAGTCCATTCGTCTGAAACTTGCCAAGGTTTGAGAAAATTGACCTATGGATTTGGTGTATGTTTGGAAATGACCCTTCTGCTTAATTTTATTTGATTGATGGATTGATTGATTGATTGATTGATTGACTGGTTTCACCCTTCTCAACAAGGGACTTGGGGAGGCAAGACTTGTTGGAGACTTGTTGGATTGTTGATTATCCTTCCTTTGGAAGGAAGCTGTTTCCTCCTTGTTTCCAAATTAAACTCTTTCATGCCTGGCAGGCTTAATAGACACTCAGCTTTGTGCAAGTTTTCTAATTTTAAAATACAAATGACAGAGAAGCGTTTTTTGTTACAGAAATATCCTCATCCTGGAGAAGAATAATTGTAGGCCAATTATTTCTCTTTGATTGTTTGGCTGGGCAGCCCCATCTAGTGCTCATCCGATGAAACTGCAACAAAGCATTCATCTGGACTTTGCGCAGCGTGTTTTGCCCAAAACACGGTTGGTTGGTTTTTTGTTTGGCCTAGCTACAATCCAGATAGTTTGTAAACCATTATTAATGACCTGGAGCCTTGTTGAATCAGGTCCTCTAAAGCACCTAGTTACAAATTAAAAATAATTCTCAAAAATAAATAAATCTCAAAAAGGCATCTTCTATATGAGCTTCGGACTACAATACCAAGAATTCTCACCAGGCATTGCCAAAAGGCACACTAGCAGAAAATTATTGGAGATGCAGTCCAAAGGCGACAGGAAAGCCCAGGCTGAAACAAGCTGACTTAAAAGATAGCACGGTTGTCAGTGCATGGTTGGTTGAACCATTAATATTAACGAATTAATATTAATAAACATGAATAACCTTGTTTATCATACCTGCTAATCCGTCAACCAGAGTTTATAAGATGCAAAAGTGGGCATTGCAACCAAACCACGTTATGGCTTAAAATGAAGTGTGAAGTTCAGTCTCAGATCTTCACCACTGGGCACGGAGCTGAAGGCTTCCGTCCGGAACTGGTTTTATTGTAAGAATTCAGTAACTCAACCCAACAGGTAAGTTGAGTGGGCTCAGCTGGAGATCCAGGAAGCAGGTGGGAAGCTGTATTTTTATTCTGCTTCCTCCTTGTTTTATGAAAACAATGGCACTCGGCAACCAACTCTGACCTTTTGTACAGTTGTTGTGAGTTTAATCACTGAGATAAACATATCAAGAACACCTCAGGCATTCCTTCACCTTTCTAGAGATGAAGACTTGTCCCAGCCTGTTTAGAAGTCACCAGATGGCCCCTCTAAAGCCCTTAGCTTTCTGGGCCTCCACAAGAAGCTCCCAATTTGGCTTTCTGCCAGTTCCTGGGTTATGACCCACCAGGCAGCGGGGATCAAATTATTACTTATTACTTCACTTTCTCATTGATCATTGTTAAAAATCCCATCCGTCCATCTGGACCACAATCCTGCTTCTTCTTGACCACATGGCCCTTGCTGCCAAGCTACGGTGGGGGAGGAAAGTGGCCCAAGGCAGCTACTGAAGTTTATAATAATGGAAAGAACTTGAATCAAGGTTTCTTGGATCTCACTCAAACTACTAGGTATGTCTAGTCTAACGAAGAGAAGAACTACAAACGATACGATAGCAATTTTCCAGTACTAAAAGGGCTCACAGGGAACAGGGAGGAGTCAACCTATTGGCCAAAAACACACCAGAGAGCAAGACAAGAAACAATGGATGGAAACTAATCAAGGAAAGAAGCAACCTAGAATTAAGCAGAAAGTTCCTGACAGTGAGAACAATCGGTCAATGAAACAGAAGTTGTGGATGCTCCAGTACTGGAAGTTTTTAAGAGATTGGCAGCTATTTCTCTGAAATAGTAAGGGATCTCCTGTTTGAGCAGAGGATTGGTCCCTTCCAACTCTGTTATTCTATGTTCTACTAGTGGGTTCTTCCTCTAATAAAGTTTTTGCAGATTTATATATCTGAACACTGGGGACAGAAATACTTTTGTGAGAAAGAGGCCGGACCCCACACATTGTGCTCAGCTATCCTTTCTTTGAACTATTTGTCTGTCTGTCTATTCCTATCATGGTTCCTATATCATACTAAGGCAAAAAAAACTTGATTTATGAGGCACAAAAGTTGAGTTTCCCCAAGACACTTAAAAGTGTGAACCTAGCTTGTATATTATAACCTTAAAGATCTGGCATAGAATAATAGATTGATACTAGGCAGCTAATGTAATTTCATTTACCATTTCCACCTTAGGCTGTCTAAATGCAATAAAGAAGCCTTGTGTTTTGTATTTCATGTGGGCGTCTTTGTGTTTACAGGGTAAAACTATCCTATTGACACAAGTATTGGTCAGCAAAGGAAATTCCTGTCACTAACAACAAAGCCCTAGGTGACTAATTTCACCAGTGTATTACAAGAAACAGATCCTTCTAACCTGCTGTTAGAAGGTAAAGAGCAGAACATTATTTATTCTACCTGGACCACAGGTAAATGAAACTGGGAATGCTTGCTTGGTTAAAGTTGGGCTACTTGCTTTTTGAAACTTGCTGGAAGAGGTGGGCAACTGGGTGATTGCATTACACAACGGTATTGTTGGGTGTGAAGCCCGCTTGTGTAAAATCCTTCTCTAATTCCTCAAACTGGTGTTATGCAGGTGGTAAAAGGGTGGTGAAGGAAGGCTGTTCCCCAGCATGGGAATCACTTGGATTTTAGGACAATTCTCCAGATGATCCTTGACGTATGTCTGTAATAAGCACTGGGAATTTTGTTCTTAAGTGGCGCAGTCGTTAAGTGGAGCCTCACAGGATCGTGACTTGTGACGCTCCCTGCTGGCTTCTCTGTTGAGTTTGCACGTCAGAAGTCTGCTGAGTAGATCCCAAAGGGTGATCATGTGACTGCTGGGTGCCGCATTTTTTTTCCTAAAAGCCCAACTGTTTCCAAGCAGTTGAATTGTGAGTGTGTGACGGCAGAGATGCTGCGATGGTCATAAATGCCAAGACCATTTCTAAATCATTTTTTTCAGCAGCATGGTAACTTTAGGCACTGGCTGTACAAATAGCTATAAGTCAAGGACTACCTGTAGGCTAGCTTAGGTTTCAGATTCTATCCAGCAAGTAAAGGCCAAGGACAGGAAGCAGAAGAGGGATGATGGGTTAGTTTTAAGTAATGATAGAGGGGGATATTTGTTGAACTGTGGGATCCTTGGTGCTCTCTGAGCTTGGTTGTTTCCTTGCAGATGTTTCATTAGCCATCTAGGAAACATCATCAGTCCTAGAAGGAAGTGCGGTCTGTGGAGAGGAGGAGGAAGAAGAGAAGAAAGAGGAGGAGGAGGAGGAGGAGGAGGAGGAGGAGGAGGAGGAGGAGGAGGACGATGTCTGTAGGATCCTTGGTGCTCTCTGAGCTTGGTTGTTTCCTTGCAGATGTTTCATTAGCCATCTAGGGAACATCATCAGTCCTAGAAGGAAGTGCGGTCTGTGGAGAGGAGGAGGAGGAGGAGGAGGAGGAGGAGGAGGAGGAGGAGGAGGAGGAGGAAGACTGTGGGGTCCTTGGTGGTCTCTGACCTTAGTTGTTTTCTTGCAGACGTTTCATTACCAAACTAGGTAACATCATCAGTGCTATAAGGGAGTGGGGTTTGCTCTCTGTTCATATACAAGTGGCTTGCCTTAACAGCATATAAACAGGAAGGAATCCCCTCTCCCTTTTAGCACTGATAATGTTACCTAATTAGTAATGAAAGATCTGCAAGAAAACAACCGAGCTCTGAGAATACCAAAGACCCCTTCGGCTTTAAATACATTCCATCTTAGTGGAAAATATCATTTACTTGGAATCTTCTGCCTCTAAAACTGTGCCCTCTACCCATTCTCAATGTAGTCTTCAGAAATATCTCCCCCCACCCACCCACAAAACCCTTCCCAGACTGTATGATGGTTGTGTTGATGGTTTTTGTGTCTGTTTGTTTCTTTGAAAGGATGGATTATACCCTGGAAGACACGCAACGCAAGGAGAAACTTCTGAAGACCGTTTACACCCTCCAAGTCAAATCAGATTCCACTTTTCAGAAAGCTAGTCCTCTCCTGACCAACCATCCAGGCATGGGCATGGTGACTGACCACCAAGTTCACCAGCTGGTGGAGAAAGCTAGGGTCATCTGCCATGACCTCGACAATATCAAAAACCACCTTTATTATCGGCAAGACGAGCTGGTTCGGAGGATCTCAAATCCCAACCGGAGCCACTTTGGACCAGTGTGTGGAATTCACTGCTCTCCAGATGGAGTGGTCTACATTACTACTGAGAACGCACCCAGAGTCGACATTCTTAATCACTCTGGCCAGGCATTTCGGTCCATCTCTTGTGTGGAATGGAAGAAGGCAGTTTTTTTACCCGAGGACGTGACCATCACCAGAGCTGGGATGGTGGCTGTCACAGACATGTTGAACGGAACTGTCCACATCTTCAATGACCGCTCCACGTTCTCCAAGGGGGAATGGCTAAGAATTGGGAAATTTTGCTCTCCCAGAGGGATTGCAGTTGAAGCCTCAGGAAGGATACTGGTGGCTGACTACACCGAAGGAAAAGTCCACACCTTTGCCCTGGACCGAGCTTTCAAGATGCAGAGCGCTCATTCCGTCTCCAACTTAAGCGGGCCACGCTACGTGTGCATGATCCCCGAGGGGGGGTTTGCAGTGAGTGAAGAATGTGGTGAAGTCAAGCTCTTCGACAGCGGCCACAAGCTGGTTTCTTCCATCAGCAGCAAATACGGACACCAGTTTGGCAATCCTGCTGGCATCTGTGCCGATAAGGAAGGCAATATTATAGTTGCCGACGAGCAGCGTCAGAAAGTACATCTCTTTCCGAAGAACGGTTCTCCAATCTGTCTCGTGTCTAAAGGTCTTCTGAGACCGACAGGCGTTGCCTGTTCCACCGAGGGGTCCCTTTTGGTCACCGATAGTGGGGACAACGATGTCAAAGTCTTCAGATATCGTGTGAGGCCCCATTACAACCCTGACATTATACCTCCAACTTAAGCGGGCCACGCTACGTGTGCATGATCCCCGAGGGGGGGTTTGCAGTGAGTGAAGAATGTGGTGAAGTCGACTTCCGGTGGATTTTGCGTGCGTGATGGCGGCTACTTTGTAGCCGTCCTCCTGGGTAAGTGTAAGAACCGCTATGAACAGCAGACACCAGCTGTTCAGCGGTTCAAAATCCCCCTCCCGGGCAAAGGGGGGGGGTAGAGAGTGTCTGAATAGTGGTAGAGCCTCTTTCGCACCCCCCAAGTTTTTGTTGGGGGGGGGTGAAAGGAGTGCTCCCACGGAGTTCAGACTTGTCTCCGCTTCCCAGCTGTTTTTGTCCTCAGGGACAAAACGAGCCGCCGCAAACACCTCCGTGCTTAAAGAGAAATGGTGAGTTTTTTTTTTTAAATGGACAGAGCTGAGTAGAGGATTTAGTTTTTGCTTTCTTTGACTTATTTGGATTTTAAGTTTTAAGATTTGTTTCTATTTTTATTCTCTCTTTTTATTTTTTTTCTTTGTTGAAAGGGAACGTAAAATGGCGATCGGCAAACTCCTCGGTGTTTTTTTTTCTGGAAGTTAGAATGCTGACCGGCAGGCTTTTTGGTGTTTTTCTTTTTTTCCTTTCCCTTTCTCTTTTTATTTCCTTATGATTGGAATGGTTGTTTTTGGTATCTCTAAGTATTTTTTTTGGAACGGACTTTTTTTATTTAATTATTATTTTTTTTTTTCTTCTCCCTTTTTTTTTCCTTTGAACTCCCTTTTTTTTTATTGTAATGACCCTTTTTTGAAGGATTTTTTTTTTGTTTAATTTTTTGTAATTTTTAAGAAGGAGTAAAACTTTTTTTTAATTCTTTTTCTCTTCCTTTTTTTCCCTTTCTTCTTTTTATTATAATGACCTTCTTTGGAGGGAGTTATGATTTTTGAAGGAATTTTTATAATTTCTTAAGAAGGACTAAAGGTTTTTCTTTAAGATGGCTCCAAAGCGTCCAGGGATTTCTACAGCTTCTAAATTAACAGTTTCACCCTCTTCTGGGGGTCAGCTAATAACTATGAAGGACTTGCAAGACATGATGGGAGATGTTATAATTCAAATTAGGGCAGAAATGAAAAAGATTTTAGAGGAAAACAATAAGATCTTGAGACAAGATTTTGTGTTGGCTTTAGAAGGTGTTGCTTCTGTTCTTGAAAAGGTGAACTCCCATGTGGAAGAGGTAGCTGAAAAAGTGGACATAATGGAGGGGAAAATTGAAAGTATGGAAAAAGAAATGGAAAATTAGATTCTTATGCTTCAATATGGACAAATGGAATATGCCTTAAGAATTAGAGGCCTGGGAGAGTCTTTGCAAGGAGATCTGAAGGAGATGGTTGCTAAGGACTTTGCATTGATTTTGAATAAAGAAAAAGAGGGAATACTTAATGAAATTGAAAAATTATTTAGGGTTAACTCTGTGGTGGCAGCACAGAAGAATATGCCAAGAGATGTGGTAATTTACTTTGGTAAAAGATCTTTACGCAATGAAATTGTGCAAGCCTATTATAAGAAGAGATTTCAAATTGCTTCACAAGATGTTATAATTTTTAAAGAGATCCCCTCTAAAATTTTAAGAAGAAGAAAGGAGTTTGCTTTTTTAGCAAATGAACTTAAAAAGAGAAAAATTTCATTCAGATGGGATGTTCCGATTGGAATGGTGGTGAATTACCTGGGGACATGTTATAGACTTAATACTGTTTCTCAAGCAACAGATTTTTATACTTCGGTCCTGGGGGTATGTGCATCGCCATCAATTAAGTTTAAAGCTTTGGAAGAAAAGAATGTAGAATCACAGTTTGAAGAGCCTATATTTATGAAAACTGGAGAATCTTTGTGTGAGAGGCATCAACAAGTCCAGGTTGAGGAGCAGAAGACAACTTGTGCAGTATATAATCCCAAAGAAAAGCAGCAACAGAAGAAGGTTAAGGAAGTTTCATATTTAGTGGTTTCTGACTCTCTGGGAGATGTTAGACCTACAAAGTCTTTGGAGCAATCTTTAAGGGTGGAATTGTTGCCTGAAATGGAAACGGGGAAATCTCAGTCTGAGGGGCATCAACAAGAGAGGAATGGGCAGAGGATAACTTGTACAACTTACAATTGTAAAGATCAATACAAGGAGGAATTGAAGGAACCCTTATTGGCTTCGGAGTCGATGGGAGATTCAGGAATTTTGGAGCAGTCTCCTAAGGCAGAACTTGCAGCATTTCTTACGAGTTTGATACAAGAATGGAGAAGGGAAATGGAAGAATGGAAGAATGGAGAATGGAAAAAACTGGAATGTGAATAATTAATAATACTAATATAATTGAGATTGATAAGGATGTAGTTTTTTATGGATGGAATTAGTTATTGGTGAAGATTGAAATGTTTAATGTGTTTATTAACTTTGTTGTTTTAATTTTTGAACCTTTAATGATAATATTGTTTAAATTTGTGTTTTGAAGGGATTATAATTTGCTTATTTTAGTGAGTGGATTCTAATGTTTTAAATTTTAAAAATTTGTGGTTTTGGAGGGAGTTTATATAGAGTGATGATTGTATTTAGATTTGTTTAGGATTTAAAATTGTTTTTAGTTTTTAAATATTATTATTAATATTTTTAAGACAAAATAATTTGTTTAATTAAATGTGCTTAGATTTGTTTAGGACTTATAGGTTTTTTAAGTTTTTGTTTTTTTTTTTTTCTTTTTGGATAGGAGAGAAGATTATGAAGATTGAAGGAAATATGTACTTACTTTAAGTTCTTTAAGAGTATTTAGCTTTAATGGTATAACAAAGATTTGTAGGTTTATTTTTTCGTTTTAGGATAAAGAAAGAGGGAGAAATTAGATTTTATATTATAGATATAGATATTCAAAGAAAGTAATGTTTAAATTTGTGTTTTTGGAGGGAGCTTATATAGAATGATGATTGTATTTAAATTTGTTTAGGTTTTAAAAGTGTTTTAAGTTTTTTTTTTTTTTTTAATTAAGCCTGTACTCAGCTCTGGGAAGTCCAGGGGAGGGTTTGGGAGCTTGGGAAGGGGGGGGGGTGAGGTAGGGGGGGGTATGGGAAGGGGATTTGTTTTTGTAAAATGTAAAAATTTTCAATAAAAAAAAAAAAAAAAAAAAAAAAAAAAAAAAGAATGTGGTGAAGTCAAGCTCTTCGACAGCGGCCACAAGCTGGTTTCTTCCATCAGCAGCAAATACGGACACCAGTTTGGCAATCCTGCTGGCATCTGTGCCGATAAGGAAGGCAATATTATAGTTGCCGACGAGCAGCGTCAGAAAGTACATCTCTTTCCGAAGAACGGTTCTCCAATCTGTCTCGTGTCTAAAGGTCTTCTGAGACCGACAGGCGTTGCCTGTTCCACCGAGGGGTCCCTTTTGGTCACCGATAGTGGGGACAACGATGTCAAAGTCTTCAGATATCGTGTGAGGCCCCATTACAACCCTGACATTATACCTGGGGACAATCCAAGTTATTCACCTCGAGGGAAGGCAGGATAGGATCCTCCACTGTCCTCTACACAGGTGGTCCTCAACTTATGACCACAACTGAGTCCAAAATTTCTGTTGCTAAATGAGACAGTTGTTAAGGGAGTCACTGCAGTGGTTAAGTCAGTAACACGGTTATTAAGTGAATCTGGCTTCCCCCATTGTCTTTGCTTGTCAGAAGGTCGCAAAAGGGGATCACATGACACGCACCCCTCGGATGCTGCAACCGTTATAAATATGAACTAGTTGCCAAGCACCCGAATTTTGATCACGTGACCATGGGGATGCTGCAAACGTCGTAAGTGTGGAAACTGGTCATAAGTCACTTTTTTCCAGTGCCGTTGAATGTTCCCTAAACAAATGGTTGAAAGTCGAGAACTACCGGTGTTACTTTTACAAAGCATCAATTTCTTTGCCACATCACCTCATCAAATCTGCATTCACTCGTCCAACAGTATATCAACCTACTCTAGTGAGGAAATATAATGTGCAGTGCTTCCTTTGTCATAGAGAAGACCCAGCCCAAACAAAGAAAGCAACTTCAACAAATGGCACCCGAAAGGGAAGAATCTGAAATTGGTGCTAAATGGACAATTTTTCCAATAATTAACTTTTTCTTCCTTAATGGACTTTTTTGTAGTAAGAGAAATGTCAGAAGAGACCATGGGAGAATGAGGGTGGATGATAAGCAGACTTTTTTTTTTTTTAACATGGCACTGATGAGAATATTTTGACCTGGAAAGAGAGAGCACGCCCAATTTTTAGCTTTTAGGTTCCGACTGATGAACCCAACTGATCAAGCACCATCGAGACAATCCAATTTCTTAATGCAAAACTTTATTGAGTACATCATTTTGCCACAGATGAAAGCAAAACCAGCTCTGGTTATTTCCTGTGCAATCTACTATAATTAAAGTATAGAATCCTCCCTCCCCCTATTAGTACAAGTCACATGGTCCAATCAAGTGTCAAAATATTGTTATGAGAAAGTGTCTGTGTGTTTGCCAACACCTGCTGAAACGTCCTTGGTTCACACAGGCTGACTTGTTGTCTGGAGCCTGCATTTCATTTTTCCCTATCCTCTCCCCTAGTGCGTTGGCAAGCTGAGAAGCAATAATGGTGGCAACATCATATGTGCGCCTCGAGCTTGACACAATATTTCTCAACCTTGACAGTTTTCAGATGAGTTGACTTCAACTCCCAGAATTCTTCAGCCAGCCATGAATCTGATTTGCATCGTACCTGTATTTTGTTAAAAAAAATATTGTACTGTAAGAGTTGTATTGTAAGCCACTTGTTTGACTAAGCCAGCACTGAAGCATAAATAAATATAGTAAGGCTGAAAGTGGCTGCATTGTTTGTAAGAGTGTAAGATATTCTTCTGTGGTTTTATCTGTTGATTTGTTGTTTTAATTGTTTTTCATTTTATTTATGCCAGTTTATTTTTTGCTGTTTTCGACTTGCAAACTGCATAGAGTCTCACAAGTGAGATAGGCAGCTATATAAATTTAAACATAAGTTAATATAATATGAATCTAGCTAATATAAAGAAAGGTTTTTTTCTTTCATCCCAAAGATTCAATGCTTCTGCCTAGCAAAGTTTTGATATGAGTACACTGTTAACATTTTCTCCCAAAAGTATAGTAAGCATATTTTCTTGCAAAAAAAAATTGAGGGCAAACCTGAAGAAAGAGCAAATCTGAAAGAGGAAGATAAGTATAAAAGCAATATTTGTAAGGCAATAACTTTGCCTTACAAAGCAAAATTCGAGAGCAAAACCAAGAAAACCTTTACAAAAATGCATATTCTAATAAAAATAAAAAGCTTAATAAGCTATGAAGTTATAAGGAGCAAGGATTAAAAAGGATTTCTGCAGTCAGACTGCCCATTACACAGAACCATTTGTCCAGTAAAATGACCACAATAAAGGGCAAAAGTGAGGTTTTGAAAAATAAATAATAAATAAAAATAAACAAATCTAAAGGATAACTTTCTATAATGAAGGTCTGTCTTTTTATAATAAAAGACATATAGTCACAGGACCAAAGACAGATATTAAAGAGGGAATTGCGTACAGGAAGATTCTGAGCCATTTTGTAGTGTTATCAGCTCCCAACAAAACGTTTTGGAAGCAGACAAGGCGAATCCTTAATGAGATATCAGTTGAGATGGCATGAAGCTTATCAGGAAAATGGAAGATGCAGACCTTGTATTGAAAGGAAGCTGTGTGTTCTGCCCAGGGTGTGGACAGTTAATTTCACTTTGCGGAGGAAATGTTCTTATTGCAGTAAGGAGAGACCATTTGGCAATTTGAAAGCTCGCTACCAGACCTTCCACTTTCTGCATTACTGTACATTTAATCAGGTCAGTATGAAACAAAAGCCAAATTCATGCCTGATCTAAACAAACTGCATTTCATATGTGTGTGGATGGTTAGTGAAATTTTGTGGCTGTAGTGTTTGTATTGTGGCATCTAATTATACGCTGTACAAGGATAAATTTGCAAGTTCTATTCTATGGTTGTGTGCATGGGTGTAATCACTGCATATGTGAATTTAATAAGCTACAAAAGATCATTGAAGCCAAAACCAAGTTGCTTTAGAACAAAGTCACAGTTTGTTTTTTACTTTATCTATGGTAAAAAATATAAAGTAAAATGTCTTAACAGGTGATTGTGTACTTGTAGGATGTAAGAAAACATCTTTGAGAATTTTCAGATTTTTTTTTAACCAATTTGACTGATCTAGTACGGCTTTTATGTTACTGGTCTTCTATTTCAGTCTTTCTGAAACTTGACTGTGGACTTGAACTCCCAGAATTCCCCAGCCAGCGACCTTGTGTGACTGTGGAATTCTGGGAGTTGTAGTCCACACCTCTTCAAGTTGCCAAATTTGAAAAACACTACATTTGACTGTCTCCAAAAGGCACAAACTTCCGCTTCTTCATTTGCTTTCAGTGGATTTGTTTCCGAGGGGCAACGTATGGGAAACTCAGCATTTGCAGAAGAACGACCCGCCTTTATTGTTACGGTTTAACTTTTTATTATTGTTATTGTTTAACTTTGATGTTGTCCAACAATAACAATAAAAGCGGGGGGGGGAGGAGGACTCCTCATTGAACAAAACTAAAACAGCAGCTTTTTTGGCCATAAAAATAGGTCGAACTGCTGGTGAGAGGGAAGAAGGAGTAATAAAAAATATCTGAAATAAATAGCTGGATCGGTTTCAAAAAAGCACGAATTGCGGAGGGAAACGGAGCGTCTCGTTCCGCCAAAGAGAAGCGCGGCGAGGCGGAACTCAATGTAGGCGAGCGCGGGAGGTCGCCGGAAGGCTATTAGGCAAGGACGTCACGGACGTTTCTGAAGGGGCGGACCGCGTCTCCTAGAAACCGGCCAGTAGCACCCGGAAATGAGTTGAATGTCAGGCGGTGCGGGCTCTTTTCTCCCTTTTCCGCGTTTCTGGGGGCAGCAGAAGCGAGCGGGGGTACGTTTGGGGAACAGGCGGGAGAGCTCTTCCCTGAAACGGGGGCAAAAGGGGACGCGGTGGCCCTTTTTTTGCCTAGCGTCCCTGCACAGGCACGCTTAAACTGAATTTGCTGAATAAACCACGATGGGAGGGGTCCCTCTGGGATTGTGGGCCTTTCACCGGCGTAGGACCCCGGTGGGTGGGGCGCCTGTCTTAGGCATCAAACCCAGGGGTGGTGGGGGACGGGGTTGTGTGAATTGGGCCACCCAGGGTTCCCGAGTTGAGTCCTGGAAGCGCCGTCATGGGCAGCAGGTGGGCGAGGAGAGTCGCCTGTTGGTCGGGAGGGACTCTGCAGGGGAAGATTGCAAAAGGGCTGGGGTCTGCCTTGGGTTAAGCCGAAACGGGGTGGGATCTTTTGGGGGAAGATGCTTGGGATTGCTGTCTTGGGGAGAGAAAGTCTTTGGTGTGGAGTGTTTGGGGTGGATCTTTGAGTGGGGAGGGGTCTTCGGGGGAGGATATTTGGGGTAGGGGTCTCTTTTCCTGGCAACTTTGGAGGACATTGTTTGTGGAGGGTATTTGGGGTGGATTTTTGAATTGGGTTCTTTGGGGGAGAGGATCTTTTGGGGATGATGTTTGGGGTGGGGTCTTCAGGGGAGAGCCTTTGGCATGGAGTCTTTGGGGAGGATAATTGAGGTGGGGTCTTTAGCTGAACATCTTTGGGCTTGCTTCTTTGGGGGGGGAACCATCTAGCTCCCACTGGGGTCCTCCAAGCACCCTGGTCCAACAGTCAGGACTCTATTAATGTCTTCCCTGTATGAAGGTTAGGCAAATGGACTCCACAGATGTTCATTCTTCAACTACTAAGTAAGGGATAAAATATTATCCTTCAGATCTGCTTAACTTTTCTTTAGCTTTTTAAAAACCTTTCCTTTTACTTTTTTTTAAAAAAACTTTCCTTATGGTTTGTAGCACAATCAGCCAGAAGTCTAGACTATATTTATAATTTTTATCCACCTATTGAGTCCTTCTCAAAGACCTGGCATAGGCAGATGTTGTTTAATGGTGTTAAAGTCTTGTCACAGGGTGTATGTAACCTGTTCCGAGCAAAGCTGCCTTTAGCAATCAATGATAATTTTGTCAGTGGCATTGGTGTTCAGTGGTGCTTGAGATATTTTGGGGTTGTTCCCAACACATCTGTTATAGTTTGTTGTATAGTTGGCCAGATATTCAGACTGGATTTGGCCATTTTATCCACCTATTGAGTCCTTCCTAAGGACCTGGGATAGATAGATGTCAATGTTTGATGGTGTTAAAGGTATTGTCGCAGGATGTAAGCTGCTCTGAGTAAAACTGCCTTTTGCAATTGGTGATTTTGTCAATGCCGATGGTGTTCAAGTGGTGCTCCAGTTGTTTCGGAATTGCAGTCAAGGTGCCTATGACTATTGGTACTACCTTTGCTTTCTTTTGCCATAGTCTTTCTATTTCTATTTGCAGGTCTTTGCATTTTTGTTATCTTCTCCTCTTATAATTTTTATTATTATTAGGAATTGATAATTCTTCATTAGGAACCATTTTTTAAAAAAACTACAGCTACACACAGCATGGCTTTTGCTGTTCTATACCATTTTGTTTTGTCTCCATGATTCCACTCAGTAATTTGAATTTATAACTGTTAAAAGTTGTAGTTACTTGGTCTGAGGTGTAGGCAGACGACAGGGAATGGCTAATGGCATCCCCAAAACCGGGCATCTTCTAGATGTCTTCTGTCTCAACAGTTTTTTTAAAAAACTAACATTTAAAGATGATGAATGATGCAAACATGCTGTCATTTTATTGGAAAATATCTCAAAGAAAACACCTAGTACAATGTCATGTGGCATATTTAATGAAATATTGTTGGAGAAACATAAGAGGAAACAAGGGCAAGTGGCAACATCTAATATGGATCATTAATGTAAGGAATTAGCCAATGATTGAGCTTTAAAATTGAGTAGCTGTCAACCTATAGAGATTTCTGCCCACATTAATAATCTTCACATTATTGGGGAAATGTGTTATGTATTATTGTTTGAATGCTGTAGAAAAAAATAAGGCCTCGCTATCTAACCATTAAATCTAGCCTGGCTATCAACTGATCTTTCTGGCTACTCTAGAAAAATCTACATTGAGAAACAAAGTCTCAAACTTTTTAGGGCTAAGAAATTGTTCTGTGGTTTCCTAATATATTCTGGTCCTATTATTCTCTCACATTTGTTTGCACTTTTTGAAAATTGCAACACTTTTCTCTTTTTCTATGCATTTTGTTAATGCCCCTTCTTTGAGCATTATTATTTATTTAAAATTTTAAAGTTCACAAACTTTAACACCAGCAAAATGTAAGATACCCAGTTCCTTGTTTTTTTCTAACAAGGTGGAATCGAGGCATTTCTACAATAAGACTTAGTGAACAGTGACTGGTTTTTATTTGTTCGCTTGCTCACTTTCTCCTTGCATATATGTGTTATAGCTGGGGAAAAAAAGGAGACTGGGGGATTCAGTGCAGTAAATATGGGTTAGGCTTGGGTAGAATTAAGCACTAACATTAATGCTCACATGCTTAAGAACCAATATGCTTAAGTACCAGTATTTTACAGAAAAATAGTCCTGTTGCAGACTTGGCAGGAAACAGTTTTGTGGAGCACACATGTGTCAAATGTCCATTCCCCCCCCCCAATATATTTCTATCTAGTTGCCGTGGGAATGTTACCACATATGAATCTTATTCCTGTTTCTTCCTCCTAAGCCAGGAGATTAATTGACCCCTAACATTTACCCACACTGACAACTGCCCCACATTCCTAAATGAAAGGGCTGATGAAGAAATAACCCCATCACAGGAACTGTAAGCCTTCTTTTCTTATAAACTCCATACACTGATAAAGAGCATGTATCAACCAGACACCACTTTTCTGCCTCAAGAGACTGGGAATTCATCCAGAAACAGACATTGCCTCCTGCAACACCATTTGACAGGCTGACTTTTTTTTCCTCTTCTGGATAAGTCAAGGCATTTTCGATGCAAATGAATCGCCCCTTTTCCAGGGCAAAATGTCAGGAATCAGCTGTACTTTATTTTAGCAGAAAAGTCAGCAGAGACTTCCTTTTCTGCAGGATATCCTTTCCAATCTACCTGCTGTAATCCAACATTTACATTCTGCTGATTGGATCTATCGCGGAGGACACAGCCCGAGGGTTTTTGCATTGCAACCTTGGAAAGGTGCTGAAGGACAGCAGACGCTGGATGATGTAAACTGGTCTTGTTTACTGTAATATTTGAGTTTAATGTTTATTAAGTTACTTAAAAAGATAGGAAGTTGTTAGTTCCAAGGTCATACATCACCTGTTTTGAGGTCACCTTGGATTTTAGAGTGAAAACAGAAAGATTGGGGTGGAGAATCCAAATAAAGTGATATTTTCCCTCTTTTGAGTCTTCCACAGAGGAAATTCTGCAGTCCTTCATAGAATCTCCTATATGCCACAGGCAGAATCGCTAGCTTTCTCCCTCCCTCTCTCTCTCTCTCTCTCTCTCTGTCTGTCTCTATCTCTCTCTCTGTCTCTCCATCTGTCTGTCTCTCTGTCTCTCTCTGTGTCTCTGTCTCTCTCTGTGTGTGTCTCTGTCTCTCTCTATCTCTGTCTCTCTCTGTGTGTCTCTTTCTCTGTCTCTGCCTCTCTGTCTCTCTGTCTCTGTCTCCCTCTCTCTCGCTCTCTCGCTCTCTGTCTCTATCTCTCTCTTTGTCTCTCTGTGTCTCTCTGTCTCTGTCTTTCTCTCTCTCTCTCTGTCTGTCTCTCTCTCTCTCTGTCTCTATCTCTCTCTCAATGCAGAAACCTAAAAGACAAATCATTTGTTAGAAAGGAGGTAAGTGATGGGACCAGTGTGACTTGCTAAGTGCACTGGTGCTGGACTGCTCTTATTTTATTTATTTTTTACAAGTACTATTTGACTTATGACCACACTTCAGCCCAAAATATTGTTAAGTGAATCACTGCATTTGATAGGTCAGTAACACGGTTGCTAAATGAATCTGGCTTCCCCCACGAACCTACAACCGTCATAAATAGGAACCAGTTGCCAAACATCTGAATATTGGTCATGTGACTGTGGGGATGCTGCAGTGGTCGTGTGAATGATGGTATTAAGTCACTTTTCTCAGTGCTGTAACTTCAGACAGTCACTAAATGAAATGATGTAAGTCGAGGACTACCTATATAGTAACAGAACATGGCATCAATACACAAAATTCTCAAAAACAGCACGTACAATGCCTTAAAATATAAAACTATTTTTAAAACACACAGCATGAGTGTTAAATATAATTGTGTATAAAATTAAATTATATACGAGCAGTTTACTGGGGTGGCTAAACCTATATAATGTAGCGGGTGCAATGTAGACTAGTCTCCTCATTGCGCATCCCAGGCAATGTGATCTTGTCCCGGCTAAATAGTCTATATATTCCAGCTGCTGGATCTCCCAGCAAGAAGCAACAGCAGGAATAGTGAAAATACTGGATTGCTGCTAAAACTAGGAGAGTACAAAAGCTAGCCTTGGGAAATTTTTTGACTGCTGCTTTGTGCCTTCTCTGTAGGACTGTATTGATGAAATTAAGCTGGTGATCATGAAAGAGCTTAAACTACTATTTTTGGGGGGTGGTGGAAGGGGGGTGTTAGGCTATTGCTAAGGACACTGGAGCCTTGTAAGATTAAATAGCAATAGCACTTTGACTTATATACCATTTCACAGTGCTTTACAGCCCACTCTTAGCGGTATCGCCCCCAACAATCTGGATCCTTATTTTACCCACCTCGGAAGGATGGAAGGCTGAGTCAACGTCGAGCCAATCAGGATCAAACTCCTGGCAGTTGGCAGAGTCAACCTGCAATATTGCATTCTAACCACTGTGCCACTACAGCTCAATGCTGGGTACTCCAGCTGGGCACTATAGAAACTTCCCATTAAGAACTTAATTATCTTTTAACTGCAAAAATGTGGGTACGCAACACCCCGCATTATGCTGGGGTTTAGAAAGGAACCTGTGTTCCTTGTTTTTGAGGGCCATCTCAGCATCGTGATTTTAAATGCCTTTGGAGTAAAACCAGTACTTGACTTAACATCTCGGCTGAAATGCTTGCTTTTTAATTAGACCACACAGTTCTTTCTTTCGGAGAACCCCAGTTCGAAACCATAAATTGCAACTGTCTTTTGAGCCGATTTATTAATCTAGTCCTTGTGCTTGTTAGTTTAATTGTCTGATTAATTAACTTAATTGTTCCCATGGCAGCAGTAGAAAGATGCCACTTTCTCTATCCACATTTCATAGTTGGAGAAAAAAATAATAATAACTGGGAGAGCCTTTAGCTCCCCTTTGTAATGGGTGATTAACTGAGAGATGGCTGCCTAAACCTATTTATTCTATTTATATTCCATCTTTTATTTTTGTACAACTCAAGAAAGCATACATAATGTCCCTGCCTCCTCTTTTGCCCACAACCTTGTAAAGTGGGCTGGATTGAGACAGACTCAAAATCACTGAGTGATTTGTCTAAGGAAGGACTTGAACTCACAACCTCCTGGACTGTATCCAGCACTGTAATCCAGTATTGTAATTGTCTGCCTCAATCTGGCTCTCATATTTAACCTATGCTTGAATACTCAGTAAAGAAAAGTTCACCAGGGCAGGTAGCAATCTGTTCCACATTTAATTAGCTCTTTTTCCTACGAAGATTTTCCTGTTTAAGTGAAATATTCTGTCTTAATTTTCCAGACAGAATTCTGAGCTACAGAGCAATAGAAAAGTCTGCCCCAACTTTTGTGTGTTGGCCATTTGTATTTTGGGAGTTGTTACTGTTACTTCCAGCTAAACATACCAAATCATAGGACTTTAGGGTTCTTTTCTTTTGACCTTTCATAATCCTCCCAGTTTTTGAATAATTCAGCTGTTCTCCTCTCACATACAGTCTACCGAACCAGCAACAAAAGCATTTCCTTCAGTTTAAGGCTTAATCTCTTAATTTGCTCCAGTCAGTGCGTGAATTCAGAAGCAGATTGTTTATTTTATTTTTCTGTTTCTTCTCTAGGACTTAACAGATTTCAGATTTCCGCATCATGGCGTTTAAAATCTTTTTCCCTCTTTGCTGCGCTTCGGCCGAGAGTGGCCTTCTGATTGGACGTTGGATTCCAGAACAGAACTCCATCGTTATCCTAGCTGTGATCCATTTCCCTTTGATTCCCGGTCAGGTGAAGCAGTATCTCTCCAAAATGCAACACGCCACCCAAGTCCAACTGTCGGTGTTGGGTTCTTGGAGTAATAGCCAAGAAAAAGAGAATTTGCAAAGGTTCCTGGAAGACCTGGGCACCATCTTTTCCCAGGGCCCCTGGGTCCAACTCAGCAGGCAAAAAGGCAGCAGGTTTTGGAACTGTGTGGCCAACTGGAAAGAATCCAGCAGCAGCAGCAGAGACGCCGAAGAAACCATCGTCATCTATTACGACCAGCGCAAAGTGATGCTCTCGAAGCTTCATCCTCCTAACAAGCACGGGGTTCCTTCTGATCAAAAGGCAGCCGATGCTTCCAAGCTGGCTGCTGTGTTTGACAGTGTTGGAAAAAGCAAATTGCTGTTTATGAAGGACCAGTACCACGAGGGCCCCATCAGGCTCACCCACTGGCAATCGGAAGGGGTGGAGGCCAGCATTATCGTAGAACTGTTGAAACAGGTGTCGGTCCCTGCCTGTGTGCTGATCAGCCTCCTCCTTTCCCTCGTGTCTGGCATCTGTAAAAGCAGGTAGGTGGGTTGAATGGGAAGAAATGATAGGGAATCACAGAACTCAAAGATTGGGAACTGTCTCCTCGTGACAGAGAGCTCACGTACAGTAGAAGGGAACACCGTGCCTATTCATTTGCTGTTGAAACATCAACGGTTCCAGTAGCAAATGTGTCAAAGGGAAAACGAGAGCTAGATCTTGTCGCCAACCTAATTCCCAATTCTTTTATATTAATGGATGACTTAAAACGGTGCTCTTCAAATCAAGCTTGATCGTTTCTTTCCTGCAGCACAGAAATCCCAGGTGCGAAATGGACTTTTGCAATAAAAGGGATTGTTTGTTTGTTTATATCTCACTTTTATTATTTTTACTAATAACTCAAGGTGGCGAACACACAAAAGTCCTTCTCCTATTTTCCCCACAACAAAACCCCGTGAGGTGACTTGGGCTGACAGAGAGTGACTGGCCCAAAGTCACCTAGCTATCTTTCATGCCTAGGGCAGGAACTCACCGTCTCCTGGTGAACTCACCTAGCTATCTTTCATGCCTAGGTAGAACTTCTCCTGGTGATTGACCCAAAGTCACCTAGCTATCTTTCATGCCTAGGGCAGGACTAGAACTCACCGTCTCCTGGTGATTGACCCAAAGTCACCTAGCTATCTTTCATGCCTAGGGCAGGACTAGAACTCACCGTCTCCTGGTGATTGACCCAAAGTCACCTAGCTATCTTTCATGCCTAGGGCAGGACTAGAACTCACCGTCTCCTGGTGATTGACCCAAAGTCACCTAGCTATCTTTCATGCCTAGGGCAGGACTAGAACTCACCGTCTCCTGGTGATTGACCCAAAGTCACCTAGCTATCTTTCATGCCTAGGGCAGGACTAGAACTCACCGTCTCCTGGTGATTGACCCAAAGTCACCTAGCTATCTTTCATGCCTAGGGCAGGACTAGAACTCACCGTCTCCTGGTGATTGACCCAAAGTCACCTAGCTATCTTTCATGCCTAGGGCAGGACTAGAACTCACCGTCTCCTGGTGATTGACCCAAAGTCACCTAGCTATCTTTCATGCCTAAGGCAGGACTAGAACTCACCGTCTCCTGGTGATTGACCCAAAGTCACCTAGCTATCTTTCATGCCTAAGGCAGGACTAGAACTCACTGTCTCCTGGTGATTGACCCAAAGTCACCTAGCTATCTTTCATGCCTAAGGCAGGACTAGAACTCCTGGTCTCCTGGTGATTGACCCAAAGTCACCTAGCCAGCTTTCATGCCGAAGGCAGGACTAGAACTCCCAGTCTCCTAGTTTGTAGCCTAGTGCCTTCACCACTAGACGCCCTGGCTCTCAGAAGTTGAGAGAGTCAACTTCTGTTGACTCAAAAGCAGGAGTTTAGCCGTCGCGAAGCCCCGCGTTGTTGACTTTCCATCCGCACTAAGTCCTCCCAGTGTTTTGCATGGAAACTTCTGGAAGAATCCCAAAATGCAAAGCTCCCACCTGTAATTCTGAGTGGGCGTGAAATTCAAAAGCTTTTGGGGTAAGCTTATACTTCAGAGCTGAGTAGGGGATCTCATTGTACTGCCAAGAGGGAGACGGGATTGAAGTTTTGTTTCTAAGCTGGCAAAGGGCAGTTGGATTCATTCCATTTGGATAGTAGCTTCTCAGCCACTCCGGAGCAAACCTTCGTAAGGGCTGCCTCGGGCTATGAAAACAGAAACCATAGGCCAGGTTTCCAACTGAGTAATGCTGTCGTAAAAGATTACAGCTAAGGTATTCATGCTATCTGTGGGAAGTAGAAGCCTGTTAGCTTTCATATGTATTAGACGTGCCCGTGGGGAACCGAAGGCCTTTGGAGAAACGACAGTCTTGTGCATACAGATGACTAACATCAGCCTGGTTTAAAGCATTTGCTGCTGAGCTAATCCATGGTTACTTGTGAAGCATTCATTGAAAGTCAGATGGTTAAACTGCTAAAGCAGTGGGCTGAATGCTGTTCAAATCTTTAGCATTCTTGCTGAGACGCAGGGAATCTTGGAACGTATTCTTAAAGGACGATGGGAACTGGTGACCTTTTCCTGAGGTGAAGTCAGGGAAAGCATGCTGGGAGAGACAAAACCTCAACCACTTTAAAAGGTGTGAACTTCAACTCCCAGAATTCCCCCAGCCAACTTTAAAAGGTGTGGATTTCAACTCCCAGAATTCTCCAGCCAGCATGTTGAAGATGAGGCCTGACCCCACACTGGCCTGGGGGATTGGGGGGGGGGTTGTGTCAAATTCTGTAACCTACAGTAAGGCAGTTCTGTGCTGTCTACACAAGACACAATGCATCCTACCCATTTTTCGTTGGGAGGTAATTGAGCTTTGCCAATAAAATTAGAAGAACGAGCATTGCACATGGTTGTCAGTTTATATTTAAAGTGTTGTGTGTTTTGAAAGTCGGTTTGACGTGGTTAAGGCATCAGCCTAGAAACTGGGAGGGTATCAGTTCTAGCCCTATCTTTGGCATGAAACCAGCTAGGTCAGGGGTCCCCAGCCTGTGGACTGTGGACCCCGTGAGGGGTTTGCAACCAGGCTGCGGAAAAACGACCAGCGAGCGCATGTGCGTGCACACGCAATTTCACTTGTACAGGCAGTGGGGAGCGTGTGCATGTGCGTGGTCCGTCAAAGTGAGCAGCAGGTGTGTTTGCACGCCGCTGGCACAGTTGGAGCTGCGTGTGCGCGCACTTGCCGGCTACTCACAGAGAATCATCCCCTCTTCCCCCCCCCCCTTCCTCGCCAGGAAGGTTGGGAGGCCCTGGGCTAGGTGATCTTTGGCCAGTCACTTTCTCTCAGCCCTAGGAAGAGCGGAATGGCGCAAACCACTTCTGAAAAAAGAGTGCCAAGGAAACTGCAGGGACTTGCCCAGGCAGTCTCTGAGAATCAGACACGATTGAACCGAAGTGGAAAAAGTGTTAGGTTTTGTCATTCAGGCTACAAAGAGTGGTATGGATGTGAGGGAGGCGGTTACCATCGTTGTGCATTTAAGAGAGAAGAGGGCTCATTGGTTGTTCTTTAGCACCATCTCTTGGTTAGAAAGGGTTACTTTACGTCTACCTTTGTAAAAGTGTGAGCTTACTTGTGATCTTCCCTGGCTGAGTGTGCACAGGCACGTTTTGTGGCAAATTGGTCTATCAGGTTATAATAATAATAAAGTTGGAAGGGACCTTAGAGGTCATCTAGTTCAACCCCCTGCTCAGGCAGGAAACTCTATACCATTTCAGACAAATGGCTGTCCAGTCTCTTCTTAAAAACTGCCAGTGTTGGAGCATTCACCGCTTCTGGAGGCAGGTTGTTCCACTGGTTAATTGTTGTCACTGTCAGGAAGTTTCTCCTTAGTTCTAGGTTGCTTCTCTCCTTGGTTAGTTTCCATCCGTTGCTTCTCGTCCTGCCTTCAGGCGCTTTGGAGAATAGCTTGACTCCCTCTTCTTTGGGGCAGCCCCTGAGATATTGGAACACTGCTGTCAGTGTTAAAAGGCTATCACTTTGCTGCTCATTTTTTGGGCGCAGGTTGAAGGAAAGATAGCACAACTTGTGAAAGGGGCAAAATGGGAAAAATCAGTCTGGCTTCTCCAATGTTGATGTTTTAAACCCTTGGTCCTTTCACATATTTTTGTAAGTGTCATCAAACATGATAGCATCACATTCCTAATCTTACACTCATCTTGCGGATCAGAAATTGCTTAAAATGAGCATGTAGGATAAACATAATTGTACAGGGATACCAGCAACCACCCCATAAAGCTATTTTGGGATAGACAAAATCTGCAACAGGATGTTACACTAATGTGCTAACTGGGAACGGCTTTGTGTATTTGATCCACATTCTTTCCTGTGTTTGTCAGAATTGTTGTTAATTCGCTTTTGAGCCCATTTCTTTTTTTATGGTTTCTCGTATAGAGATTTTGTTATATTTCTGTTATAGATAGATAGATAGATAGATAGATAGATAGATAGATAGATAGATAGATAGATAGATAGATAGATAGATAGATAGATAGATAGTCTGAAATCCCACAGACCCTCTGGACCCGTGCATTTTAGATCCCTAACAATCTCCATTTGGGGGAACGAGTTTGTGGTTAATTTTGTTCAAATGCATTCAACATCTAAAAATTTGACACGACGAGTTCCTAAAAACGCACAGGTAGTGTTCACTTAGCAATCCCTGAATGACAAAAATCCCATACAGTTTTGCAGAAAGTCGACAAAGTGCCCAAGTACACGGTAGTGCTTTATTAAAGAGAAAGGCTTGTCATTTTTTTCTGACTGTCTAAGCAAAAATAATTATTCCAGGGTTTTCTCACTCTGCAGCCTTTCACCCATTGATATAAGATTGATATATTCTTTCATCAAAATAGTAGACGTCTATGGAAATTGGAATTAGCCATTCGAAGAAACAAATGGGTCCAACGAATGCCAGTGTTTTTTTTTTTTTAATGGTTTGGGCATAAAATTGTTTACTTTTTGCAGATTCATAGGCCGGAGGCATACAAAATAAAACCCTGAAAATATTATCTGATCCATTACATTCCTTAACTGCTCCTTCCCAGTAGCAGTGCCTGGGACAGGGAGATTAAAAGCTAAAAGGTTCTTGCCTGATTTTGACAAAACTGGTCAGAAAAAGAAGTCACTGGAGCTATAATATGCGGCGGGTATATTTTATATAATAAGTAGCATGTGTCAGGTTCAATGGAATATGGAGCCATTTCAGCCTGGCTTAATTTGTATCCTGCATTTGCGTTTGGAACACTTGCAGTCAACCCAGAAATAGAATAATAACAGGAAATGAAATCCCATCAAGCTGAAGAGAGAAATGCAAGCCACGTGAACTTGAGGTCACACATTGCGCGTAAGCAGCCATTCCTCAAAATTAACTTGTTTTTTATTCTTTCCGCCAATTTCCTAGGGATTCTATCTGGGGAGGTTGTGCTTGGTAGCTAGGTAATGCCATATTTGAAGGATAACGTTCACTGTGGCCTCTTTGCCTTTATTTTTACCTGTCAGTTTTCTGCTGTTTCATTATTACCGTATCTTCAAGTAGCATGATAGAATAGAATAGAATAGAATAGAATAGAATAGAATAGAATAGAATGGAATGCAGAATGGAATGCAGAATGGAACGGAATAGGAATAAGAATAGAATAGAACAGAACAGGGAATGGAATAGGGAATGGAATGCAGAATGCAGAATGGAACAGAACAGGAATAGGATAGGATAGGATAGGATAGGATAGAATAGAATAGAATAGAATAGAATAGAATAGAATAGAATAGAATAGAATAGAAGCAGTGAATGCTCCAACACTGGAAGTTTTTAAGAAGAGACTGGACAGCCATTTGTCTGAAATGGGATAGGGTTTCCTGCCTGAGCAGGGGGTTGGACTAGATGACCTCCAAGGTCCCTTCCAACTTTATCATCATTATTATTATTATTATTATTATTATTATTATTATTATTATTATTATTATTATTATTATTATTATTGATCATTGCACAGTCAGCCAGATGTTCAGACTGGATTTGGCATTTTGTCTACCTATCGAGTCCTTACCCAGGACCTGGGATAGGCAGATGTGGATGTTGATGGTATTACAGATATCGTCGCAGGATGGAAGCAGTTCCTAGTAAGGCCGCCTTTTGCAATTGACTAATAGCGAATTTGTGAATGCCAGTGTTGTTCAAGTGGTGCTCCAGTTGTTTTGGGATTGCACCCAAGGCGCCTATGACTATTGGTACTACCCTTGCTTGCTTTTGCCATAGTCTTTCTATTTCTATTTGTAGGTCTTTGTATTTTGTTATTGTTGTTGTTGTTATCGTTATTATTATTATTATCATCTTCTAATTGCTTTGTATATATCTTGTATAATTTGATTTTACCTACTGTTTTATCCAGCATCTGTGTTCTTGTCTCCTGATATTAAATACTGGATCCTTGAAAACGTGTTAATTGAGAGGCTGCACTTGTCACTTCCAAGCACTGGTCTTAGCTCCAGCAGTTGCTCTTTATTACACTTGTGGACATAATTTATTAGAAGGCATTGGGAGGAAATAACCCCTTGTAATTAGCCTTCAGGAGATGACATCCTCATGCCTGTAAAAGCGCATCGTTAATTTTGAACTGTCATATGGAATTGAACTGTCAGAGCTATGCCAGTTTATTGTCCAAGTGAGCAATGGCATATGTTAACCAGTCTTCCAGCCCAAAATTCCCAGCCTGTAGAAAGCTAGGATGTCGGGGAGTAAAATTTTGATTTAGGCATTCGTTTGTTACAGTCAGCTCCTGAATTTATGACCATAATTGAGCCCCAAATTTTTGTTGCTAAGGGAGACATTTGTTAAATGAGTTTTGCCCCCTTTTACAACTGTTAAGTGAGTCGCTGCATTTGTTAAATTAGTCACGCGGTTGTTAAGTAAATCTGGCTTCCCCATTGACTTTGCTCGTGAGACAGTCACAAAAAAATGTGGCTCTGGAACTCTGGCCTAAATGTGAATCAATTACCGAGCATCTGAATTTTGATCACATGACCACGAGGAGGGGTAACGGTCATCAGTGTGAAAAAGGGCCACAAGTCACTTTTTTTCAGTGCCGTTGTAACTTTGAACAGTCTCTAAACAAACTGTTGTAAGTGGAGGGCTGCCTGTAAAATGCCGTTGCCTACCCCAAAAGTAAAGTATTGATACCACTTTACAAGGCCTTCGTAAGGCCCCACTTGGAATGCTGCATCCAGTTTTGGTCACCACGATGTAAAAAAGATATTGACATTCTAGAAAGAGTACAGAGAAGAGCAACAAAGAGGATCAGGGGACTGGAGGCTAAAACATATGAAGAACAGTTGCTGGAATTGGGGATGTCTAGTTTAATGAAGAGAAGGATGAGGGGGAACATGATAGCAGTCTTCCAATATCTCAGGGGTTGCCACAAAGAAGAGGCAGTCAAGCTATTCTCCAAAGCGCCTGAAGGCAGGACAAGAAGCAACGGATGGAAACTAATCAAGGAGAGAAGCAACCTAGAACTAAGGAGAAACTTCCTGAACAATTAGAACAATTAACCAGTGGAACAACCTCCCTCCAGAAGCGGTGAATGCTCCAACACTGGAAGTTTTTAAGAAGAGACTGGACAGCCATTTGTCTGAAATGATATAGGTTTTCCTGCCTGAGCAGGGGGTTGGACTAGATGACCTCCAAGGTCCCTTCCAACTTTATTATTATTATTATTATTAATACTAAGTTGCTTTCTGAGAAGCGGAGGTTACGGGAGGTAGGGTGATCCTTCCTTAGCAGCCAGATGATTTTATTGGGGCGCCGTCTGTCTTTTCTCCAGGGCACTGACATTCTGGCCCCTGTCTTTCATCTGGAGCAAACTTTCCACCTACGAGCAGCTGAGGCATCGGTTCCAGCATCTCCAGGTCATCAGCAGCGAGAGGGCAGCTTCAGATCAGGCGCAGGTGATGAGGTAAGAATTCCGCCGCACGAAATGAAGATCTCAACGCTGCTTACATTGGAATTTTTTTTTCTTTGACAACATATGGAGATGCAACCATTTTCCTTCTTATGTTTTACTCTTGGAATTGGAGTTAGAATTAGATGATACTGGGGATACTGTGCATGGGAGTTTAGTTAGACATAACAATACTGTAACTAGGGTGAGAACCAAGGTTTTTGAAATAGGAGATGATAAGAATTGGCGGGCTGGAGAACTAAAGGGAAAGCCTGCATTTCAAATGAATTGGAGGATGTGATTTATGACTGCAAATTAGAGGAGGGAATTGTGCTTTGATACTATGTGCTCAGGGGAGGGGAATTCAAAGAGTTTGGCTTCGGCTATGTAAGTGCGGACGCTTTGCTTCTCGAATAAAGATCCTTTAAGGTAAACAACGCCTTGAAGTTCTTTGAAGAGGTTCATCTGTCGGAACCATGACATTAAGCCCAAATCTGAATTCCCCTCCCTGAGCATCAGATGTTTTTGCTGTGACAGAATAATTCTCCATTCTGGCAGATTACGTGACTGATATCCAAAGATATTACCGGTAACCTTTTACTTTACCTTTTAGCTGGGCTCAGAACTTCAGTTGCTAAACAAGGCGATTGTTAAGGGACTCATCCCGGTTTTATTGTCTTTTTTTTTTTTTTTTGGCCATGGGTTATTAAGTGGATCCTTGCACACGCTCGGTAAGCCAATCCGTCTTCCCCCCCCCCCATTGACTTTGCTTGTCGGCTGGGAAGGTCACGCCATCACGTGAGCCTGGGATGCTGCATCTGTGTAAGTAAGTGCCTGACTTTTGATCCCGTGATCACGGGGATGCTGCACCAGTCCTAAGTGCAAGGAGCAGTCGTACGTTACCTTTTTCAGTGCCACTGCAACGCTGAACGGTCGCTAAATGAATGGTTGTAACTTAAGGACTACCTGCATGATATTTGCATCGGGGGGGGATTATTTATTCCACTTGCTAGCATTAGGACCGTTGAGATCCAAAAAGCTACTCTGGAATAGCCAAAGGGCCATCTTCTCCCCCACCCCTCCATTTTTGGGGCTTAGATCAGGGGTCTTCAAACTTGGCCCTTTGATCACTTGTGGACTTCAACGCCCAGAATTCCTCAGCCAGCGTGCCCGGCTTAGGAATTCTGGGAGTTGAAGTCCCACAAGTCATCAAAGGGCCAGGTTTGAAGACCCCTGGCTTAGAAAAACAGAGAGGGGAGCGGTGCTTCTCAACCTGGCCAGCTTGAAGACGTGCGGACTTCAGTGTCCCAAGAGTTCTCTAGTCAGCAAGCTAAGGAAACATTTTGGTTTTATCCTCTCAAAAAAATGCAACCAGTCTGGTTAACCCCCAACCTAACTGGAACGTGTTCTTCGAAACGCTTTTAACTCACCATAGGCCAATTCAAGTTGCAGGAGAAGCCATCGTTTCCTGTTACATTACTTTGATGGCATGAATCTTGAGGTTTTTTTGGGGGGTGTGCCCTGTCCCTTACTTTCCACTTGCAGGGAGGTAAAGGCCACTTTCCAAAGGCATCCATATATTACGCAAGCTGGAACTGCTGAAAGCAGGTTGGCGTCTAAAAATAAAATGCGCTCCTGGCTCGTTTTAAGAAATTGCACGCCTTTGTTTCCAGCTGTAACAAGACACGGTGGTTTGGATAAAAGTCGTAGGGAAAAAATGTCAGCTTCCTCGTCATGGTAGTACAAGGAGAGGGAGGGGGAGAGAGAGAGAGGGAGAGGGAGGGAGAGAAAGAGAGAAAGAGAGAGAAAGAGAGAAAGAGGAGTGAACAGCCTAAGGCATTTTGGTGTCCCAGTAGGTTTATATGCAAAGAGCTCCCTGGGGTGGAAAAAAAAGAGACTGTCTTGATATTGTGGTATTGTCTTTGTGTGTGTGTGTGTGTGTGTGTGTGTGTGTGTGTGTGTGTGAGAGAGAGAGAGAGAGAGAGAGAGAGAGAGAGAAGGTTTTTTTATAAGTGAGGATAGAACATTCTGTTTCCCAAAATATAGTTGTGCGTGTGGGCACGCTTCTCATTGTTTCTGAAAACATTCTGTTCCATTGTGTTTATATTTTATGATGCTGCACCTGAAACACTCACACTGGACTGGAAATTTGGGGCTTTTTTCCCCCCTGCTGCTGCCCCCGTACCACTGCCCACACAACTTCCATTTCTATCCAGCAAGAGAGAGTTGCCCAGGAAACAGGCTGGCATGCCAACCCTGGCACAGCTGTAGAGAATAGCTGTACAACACCTGCCCCTCCACGGTTGCAGAAACCTCAGATGCCTTTGAAGAACTCCTGGATTCTACTTTTCCCTTTACAGGTAGCCCTTGACTTCTCACCATTCATTTAGTGACGTTCAAAGTTACAAGGGCACTGAGAAAGGTGACTTGCATCTGTTCCTTACAGTTACAACCATCATAGCATCCCCACAGTTGTGGTCAGGCATGTTTGGAAAATCTAGCTGATGGCGTCTTATTGTAGATGACCAGGCTGAGCTGGATGGAGGAGTCAGACGCGTCAGCAGTCATGAATCCCTGGGTGCCCACCATCAGTCATGAATCCCTGTGTGTCCAGCTCCCTTTGAATTCCTTCTGTTCTTATCTCCCACTAATTTCCCTTAGCTGTCAGTAGTTCTGATTCTTGTAGAGAGCTTAAGCTTACAATAAATCTTGATACACCTTTGAACTGCCTGGATCTCATGATTTCCCCAGTGCTTGACCCTTATTCCACAAACGATGGTGTATGTAGCGTGTAAACTTGGTCCTCACCCTACAAGAGAAGCTTGAATGTGTCTGAATTTTGAGGAGCGTTTAACTCTACCTGACATGGCAAACCATGTTTTCCCAACGCAGAAAAGCCAACATCTTTATCTCTCTCCTCATCGACGTGGCTCTGGGTGTGCTGCTCATGTCCTGGTTGTATCAAATGAACTGGATCGGTTATCTTGCCAGTGGCCTCCTCCCAATGGCAGATGTAAGTTTTCCTTGAGCGTCATACGCTGAAGTTTTAACTCAACTTGGTGGGGGTGTACAGGTAGTCCTCGACGTACGACCACAATCATCAAGCGCAAAATTTTCATTGCGAAGCGAGACAGTTGTTAAGTGAGCTTTGCCCCCTTTTGCAACTGTTCTTGCCACAGTTATTAAGTGAATCAACTTAGTAACACGGTTGTTAAGTGAATCTGGCTTTCCCATTGACTTTGCTTGTCAGAAGGTGGCAAAAGCGGATCATGTGACACACCCATACACATACACACACACACACAGCCTGTGACACTGCAGACCGTCCCAAATATGAGCCAGTTGCCAAACGTCTGAATGTTGATTGTGCGATCATGGGGAGGCTGCAATGGCCGTAAGTGTGAAAACTGGCGATAAGTCGCTTTTTTCAGTCCCGTTGTAACTTTGAACGGTCACTAAACGAATGATCGTTAAGTCGAGGACTACCTATATGTTGGGAGGTCTCTTAAAAAGGAAGCAACGGCCTGGTTCACACACTCAACTGAACCATCCAGTGGCTGGGCTGTAAGTCTGACCCTGGGAACTGGACTACTGCAGCTTGCCTAGCAAATTTTGATTCAATTTAAATGGCTTAACATGTGTGCATGCAGCTAATGTCCACTCCAGATGGGTGTGGGGGGGTGACTCACTCATCCTCCCCGTCTCTGCTGCCTTCTGACTATCCTTACTGGAAGAGCTGCAATGGAGAGCACATCAGCTTTCTTACTTAGTAAGCAATCATGGCTTAGATCAGTGTTTCTCAACCTTGACAATTTTAAGGCATGTGGACTTCAACTCCCAGAATTCCACAGCCAGTAATGCTGGCTGTGGAATTCTGGGAATTGAACTCCACATGCCTTAAAATTGTCAAGGTTGAGAAACACTGGCTTAGATGCTGGTTCCAAGACATAGGCTCCTTCCCCCCCCCCCTTCTCTTCAGTGGAGCATGGGTAGGAGAACTTTCTAATAGCTTGTGTCCCGTTAGCCGGGACTTCCGTTTGGTTTCCATCTTGGAACTTTTCTTTTGACATCCGATCCACTTAATCATTGCAAATAAAAGCCTGAGCTACTTCAGATTTCTTTCCCTCTGATCCAGGACCAAATATTTCTCCTGGACTGCATCCAAAGCCTGTGTGACCACAATGTCACTGTGGACTAACACACAAAGCCACAACCAGCAGGAATTTCAGAATGTTCCTACCACAAAAATGCTTCACTCGAGCGGCTTTACATTGTTCATTGTTTTATAAAAGCATCACCGCTACCCATTTTAAGCAATATATATATATATGTATGTATGTATGTATGTATGTATGTATGTATATATGTATATATGTATATATGTATATGTATGTGTGTGTATATCTATCTATCTATCTATCTGATGGAAGTTGGCCATGATATTGAATTAACTGAGAGCCTGGCCAGCCACCAGAGAGAAGAAGATTTGTTGTGATGGCTGCGGTTGTTATTCCCATAATAAATTCTTGCAGCTTTTGATTGCTAAAAGCCCTGTGGCAAATACATACAAGACCTTTCAGTCCATCAATCATAAGAACTTGTGATCCGTAGCCAAATACTGATAAAAAAATATTACATCCCTTGTGTAAAATGACATTCCTTTACTCTCCATTCCCCTGCCTCTCTAGTTTCCAGTTCCATTAACGCTCCTTAGCCCCAAGCCACTGGGTGCTAAAAGTCATCCTTTCCCCCAATCCAGGCTGAGAAACAGCATCCTAACTTGCTATTGTGGTTTAATGACAGCTAATCCTGTATACATGCATGCAGAAAACAAAATCTGGCCGGCGAAGATCACAGTGGGATTTAAATCCATTGATCAGTGTTTCTTAACTTTAGCAACTTTAAGATATGGCTGGTTGGGGGATTCTGGGAATTGAAGTCTGCATATCTTGAAGTTGCCATGGTTGAGAAACACTGTATTTCAGGGGTGTCAAACTCAATTTTATTGAGGGCCGCATCAGCATTGCGGTTGCCCTCGGGGGGGCAGGTCGGTGTGGCCAGAGTGGGTGCCGCCTACTGGATGGGCGTGGATGGAGTGGGTGTGGGCATGGCCAGTTCTACATCATTCGCGTCAAGGGTGCCTGTGGGGGCCTGGGCAGGAGAGGGACAGATCTGAAGGTCTCTGGCAGAAGTGGGTGGGACCGGGGCAAGCACCAAGGCATGGTCCACCGGGGCAAGTGCCAAGATGGCCACCACAAAATTGTACATTGGCTCCCGGCCAGCTGGGCCAGGGCCAAGGCAGCGGGGGCCATTCCCTCACTGTTTCCAGGATGGCTTCGCAGGCCACATGAAACCACTTCGCGGCCCACATCCGGCCCCCGGGCCTTGTGTTTGACATGTCTGCTGTATCTGATGCTTCCGATGCATTTTCTTTCCATGAGTAAAAAGGGAATAAAATCATTCAGGATCCCTTAGCTTTTTTCTGAAAATCACCCTTTATCCTTTACCAGCTATTTTCCACTGATGCTGCTAATCTCTTCCTTTTCGGCAGCATATCGCCCAGCAGCTCCAGAACCTCCTGCAGTGGCTGATGGGTGTGCCAGCTGGTCTCAAAATGAACAGAGCTTTGGATCAAGTCCTGGGCCGTTTTTTCCTTTATCACATCCACCTCTGGCTTAGTAAGTGCCCTTATCTTCCTTTTGTGTGTGTGTGACATGTGACAAACTCCTTTGTGCCAGTCAAAGAAAAGCAGCTGATGCCATCTGATATTTAGACTACAAATCCTAAATCCTTGACTCTCTTGGCTGGCAGGCACCAGGCTGGAGAAAGCAAGCACTGCACACAGTTCTGAATGTGTTGTTGAAGGATGAGTCTCTTGTAGAGGTTCTAGAACAGTGCTTCTCAACGTTTGTGTGACGGCGACCCCCGTCACACAAACGTGCCACGCATGCGTGGCGCCGCCCCCCGAGGGGGAAAAATGGCGGATCGCCTTGTTTGGCGACCCCCGAGAAATGGTCGATCGACCCCAAATGGGGTCGCGACCCATAGGTTGAGAACCGCTGTTCTAGAAGCTGTGTTCTGGAACCAGGGACCTAAGATTTGAGAACAGGACACAACACCTTAAGAGTCGTGTGTCCCATTCTTGTCTACATTGCTATGCAACTGTCTTTGACACCCAACAAGTACACTCTATGCTCTTACAGAGCTCAAGCTTGTTTGTTCTTTGGACTGTTGGTGAGATACAAAGGCGTTGTCATTTTAGGCTCTGTTTTATTTATTCTTGGCATTGTTTGCTAATTCCAAACTTTTGATGGCCATTGTTTCATCAGGTTTGTATGACTGTTCCTTTACAGTGTTATAGGCCCAGAGTGGTGGTATCTAACCATCTTTTCTCTCCGTCTATTTTTCCATTTGATTTTTCCAAGCATTGGGATCGTCTCCATTGACTCTTACCTTGGCACGATGCACCCAACATTTCAAAGTTTTAGCTTCACGTTTAGGGCTTGCAGTAGGCAACCTGCTGTCACAACACCTGAACAACTTGTTCTTGACAGGCAGGCAAAGGATTTATTCAGATAGCAGATTTCACGTGTTTCTCAACAAGCTACACTCTTTATGGGCATCATTTCCACTATTGTTTTGTCAGAGGTTTGATCTTTATTTTGCTGGCGATAGACAGTTTGGGGACTATGTGCAAGAACAATTGCAGGTTGAGGGGCTGCCACGAACCTATTTTCCAAAGCACCAGAAAGCTGAACAAGAAGCAGTGGATGGAAACTAATCAAGGAGAGAACCAACCTAGAACGAAGGAGAAATGTCCTGGCGGTGAGAACAATTAGCCAGTGGAACGGCTTGCCTCCAGAAGTTGTGAGTGCTCCATCACTGGAGGCTTTTTAGAATAGACTGGACAGCCGCTTGTCTGGAATGGTAGAAGGTCTCCTGCTTGAGCAGGGGTTGGACTAGAAGACCTCCAAAGCCCCTTCCAACTCTATTATTCTGTTCTGTTTTTTCTGATAACTCTCATTGATGAGAGATGGTTGCTGTTTTTAAGTGCTGCTGTTTCCTTGCCCAGGCTACATCCATCTGATGTCTCCATTCATTGAGAAGATCTTGTGGTATGTTGGCTTGTCAGCTTGCCTTGGCTTGACCGTGGCCCTTTCCATCCTCTCCGACATCATTGCACTCCTGACGTTCCACATCTACTGTTTTTATGTCTATGGAGCCAGGTGGGTGTGCTAGGTTCACTGGGTTACCAGGCAAACAAAACAGTGAAAGGACTTGCCTCCAGAAGTTGTGGGTGCTCCATCACTGGAGGTTTTTAAGAAGAGATTGGACAACCCTATGTCTGGAATGCTATAGGTTTTCCTGCTTGGGCAAGGGGTTGGAGTAGAAGACCTCCAAGGTCCCTTCCAACTCTCTCATTCTGTTCAAGAAGTTCTCCTCACCTTCTGCTTATCTTCTGTTAAATGGGGGAATAATTGTGCTTTGTAACTGTGGACAAAAACAAGACATCGGCCTGCATCTCATCAATTGAGGTTTCTCAGATGGATTACAGCTCTTCTGCTCTCCTGTGCCTTAATTCAGTAGAATTAAGGACTCTAATAATGTTAATTCTATTAAAAACAGAATGAAGAAGAGATTGGGCAACTATTTGCCTTGAAATGGTGTAAGGTTTCCTGCCTGAGCAAGGGAGTTGGACTCCAAGATCCCTTCCAACTCTGTTATTGTGTTATTAATAGTTTTAGTTTAATTGAACCATTTGACTTCCGATCTAGAAAATTGAATTTTGGACGTAAATGTTAGGAAAAGGAACCAAAACCTGGTTTCCTTTAAAAAAAAAATGTTCCTGGAAGGATAGCCAAAAACTCAAACAAACTTGCACAAAATAAATCATAAGAGATTGAAAAAAACCCCACAATTTCTTATTATGGAAAGCAGGTCAGAAAGAAATGAAGGGAGATGGGCAGGCAGATAATGAGTGAGGAGGGTAGTACACAGATTAAAGATAGCATTTGTAACTTATTGATCAATCCAAAGCAAACAGACAAACAAAAGCAGATCCAGATGATATATTTCCTAGATGCCTTCTAGCAGAATTTAAAATGTCCCAAACATTGAGGGCCTCCAGCAGGCTTGTGCTCACCAAAATACAAAAATAGCAAAAAAGAAACAAGCTCAAAGTTGCCAGTGCATTCCATTCCCCATCCCTTCATTAGCAAACCCACTTTACAGGCTGATTTCCACTTGAAAAGACTTTTTTTCTTTTTAAGTAGCAAAAACCAAAATAAAACCCGAACCCTCTCTTTGGGAAAGCATAGGAAGTCACGGGAATCGCATTCTCCGGCCACTTTTACATGTGGGAATTTTCTCAGTTCTCAGACTGTCTTTTTCCCCATTGCCCTGACCTCAGGATCTCGTATTACCCTTGCTAAGTCCGGCAGCCAACCCACACAATTTCCCCATTTTCCATATATATGTGTAAGAAAGGTTGTTGCAATCCTAGTCAGACTGTGGCTGGGTCTCTTAGCCAAACGTTCCTATCCTCTTGCAGGCACAGACAAGCAAAACACCATCCGCAGGATGCAGGCAGCACACAAAACCACACACACACACCCTCCGGTCCACTATACTGCCGCATAGTTCCCAGAGACTGGTGAGGTCCCACAGATTGGGCCTCCTTCAAGTCCCGTCGGCCAATGTCGGCCGGCGGGCCCTCGGGGAAGGGCCTTTTCTGTGGTGGCTCCGACATGGTGGAATCAACTTCCCCCCGAGATTCGAACTACTCCCACCTTGCCGGCCTTCAAGAAAGCTATTAAAACTCTCCTGTTCCGGCAGGCCTGGGGTTGATGTCCCCAGGGGGGGGGGACACGATTGGGACATGCTGTGTGAATGTATTCATTTTTAATTGTTATACTTGTTGTTTTAATTTTGTACGCCGCCCTGAGTCCCTAGGGATTGGGCGGCATATAAATTTTACTAATAAATAAATAATAAATAAATAAAAAACCCTCTCCACGGAACCGGTCCCTGGTGCCCGAAAGGATGGGGACCTCTGGTCTACAATAAAGAAACCTATTTGACCCATTCTGATAGCTGTTCTGGTTGCTTGTCCCTGACGCTGCCCTTGTTGTCTGAATGGACCCCACTAGAACCGAGTCTGAATTGGAAGCCTGGGCTTTTATTTCTGGGGCACTCCTGACTTTCTGTTTTCCTTCTCTGGACATAGGCTGTACTGCTTCAAGATTTACGGCTTGTCCTCTCTGTGGCGCTTGTTCCGGGGGAAGAAATGGAATGTCTTGAGGCAGCGTGTAGATTCCTGCTCTTACGACCTGGATCAGGTAGAGACGCTCTGCGGGGACACCGGCAGAGCGGTAGCGAATGCGGTGTTCACCAACACACTTCCAGATGCTTTGGGGAAAGGCTTTCATTTGGTTTTATTCCCAGCAATAACCGTGAATGTGCAGAGTTATGGATGCATTCGGGGGGGGGGAAACCAGCCACAATTACAATCTCTGAGTAGGCGGTCCTCGACTTACAACGGTTCATTTAGCGAACATTCAAAGTTACAACGTCACTGAAAAAAAAGTGACAGTTTTTCCCACACTTACAACCCCTGTTCACGTGATTTAAAGTTCAGGCCCCTGGCAACTGGCTCATATTTATGGCGTTTACAGTCTCCCGGGATCACGGCGATCCCCTTTTGCAACCTCCTGACAGGCAAAAGTCAGTGGGGAATGGGGGGGGGCAGGTTCACGTAAGGATGGTGTTCCTAATTTTACAACTTGCAGTGATTCACTTCACAAGTTCGGCAAGAAAGGGTGTGCAGTGGGGGGAAAGCCGCTTAATGAACACCTCGCTTACAAGGCGGGACATGATAGCCGTGTTCCAGTATCTCAGGGGCTGCTCCAAAGAAGAGGGAGTCAAGCTATTCTCCAAAGCGCCTGAAGGCAGGACAAGAAGCAATGGTTGGAAACTAACCAAGGAGAGAAGCAACCTAGAACTAAGGAGAAGCTTCCTGACAGTTAGAACAATTAACCAGTGAGAACAATTAACCAGTGAATGCTCCAACATTGGAAGTTTTTAAGAAGAGACTGGACAGCCATTTGTCTGAAATGGTATAGGGTTTCCTGCCTGAGCAGGGGGTTGGACTCGATGACCTCCAAGGTCCCTTCCAACTTTATTACTATTACTATCTTAAGCCTTGTGAATGTCAGGAAGGTGCCAGTTCAGGCCCTGAACGTCACTGTTCTCTCCTGGCCAGTTTTCAGACAATTATAGCGGAAGGGGGCTTAGTCTTGAGAGACCCCCCCTGGCAGCAGGTGCCCCGTGCTACGCAAGTCAAAGCCCGGGTGTGATAATGGGCTGGCGGCAGGGAAGGAAGCAATTTGAGTCAGACACCAAAATAATTACAGCCATACCCAGCAGCGTTGTCATAGTTACCTGCTGATTTGTGTTTCTATTAAAAGTCTCTCTCTTCCCCCCCCCCCATTTCATGGGCTTTTGGAAGGGAGCTGGGCCCACACGTTTCCCACAGGATTACCACCATTTCTAAAATTACTGTTCATTGTTAATCTCTGATAATTTTATTTGTCTTTTCTCCTTCTCTAGCTATTCATTGGCACTTTGCTGTTCACCATCTTGCTCTTTCTGCTGCCCACAACTGCATTGTACTACTTGGTGTTTACTTTGGTGAGTCTGCTTTTTCTGGAATCAGTGCCCCATTAAGACGGTTTGAGTTCAAAGCAACGTAAAAAGTTGGGAAGGACTGTTAAAAGCAAGATAACATCAACGGAATTAAATAGCCAGTTCAGGTGATTGACAGAGGCATGGCAGGCCTTGAATTCAAAGCCCAAATGATGTTTTGGAGCATTCGTTCGCCACGTGTCTGCATCTCCTTTTAGAAATTGCATCTTTTTCTAGGCTTGTCTAGCCGGCCTCTGCACCCCAGGAACAATTGGATTTGATTTAAGGACCTGCAGACACGTGCTTTATGTCCCTCCTGTGCCCACAAAAGGACCTTTTTTGTTCTTTCAAAATTGTTGCGCAATCTTATTAGACATCCCCTGATTTTAAATCTAGTATTGCCCAGTAGCGTTGAGGTGATGTTTGGCTGCAAATAGATTCCAATTCCTAACTCACTCATCCTTCCCGACGGCATCTATTTGGATGAGAGGAGGAACGTTTAAGAGTGGGAGGAAAAACTCTGGCTGATAGGTAGCAACCTAGATCAGCAGTAGAAAATTATGGCTGAAGGATCTGACCTCCCTTATACTACTTGGAGGACCTTGAATAGGTTGAGAGTTGGAGGGCCTAAATGTAAAACCAATATGCTCAAATGAAGGCTCTTAGCAGATAGCAACATGCTGTGTGAATGGGGACAGACACAGAGCCTGGCCCATCTGGTGATATGTCGGCTACAACCAGAAACATGTACCGACAATTTTTGGCCAACAGCTAAGCCAAGAAGGTGGCCATTTAAAGTACAAACTAGACATGGTAGAAGAAGTACAGAACAGATGGAAACTTTTATATCGCTGTCTGGCTGTCGAACTTGCCAAGTGCTGGCCCACGGACGCTGCCACTAAAATCTAACAGAAACAAACCTTTCTTCTTAGCTTCGTCTCCTGGTGGTTCTTGTGCAAGGCGTTATCCATCTACTGATCGACCTCATCAACTCCCTGCCCCTTTACGCCATTTTTCTTCGACTCTGCCGAGGCTACAGACTCGCCTGTAAGCTGTACAAACCATATTGTTGTGGTAACACGTAAATTGTGGGGTGGAACATTTTGCCCGGAGTTCTGTTTATGTTGGTCATGCACGCTTAAAATCAGGAATCAGTGGCACATAAATATATACACGCTAAATTGGACAGAGAATTAACTTGCTACCGGCTGACGGTAAGTCCTGTAAATTCCAACTCATTATAGGCAGTCCTCGGTTTACGGCCACAATTAAGCCCAAACTTTCCGTTGCTAAGCAAGACAGTTATCAAGTTGTTAAGAAAGTTAATAACCTTTCTCGCCGCAGTTGGCGATGGAAATTTGGAGCTCAGTTGTGGTCATAACTCAAGGACTACCTGTAGGTGGAGTTTCGCTGATGGTCAGGTGACCTATAACCAGCATTTGGGATATAAACAAACCTGGATGCATTTAAACTTCCTGTGGGAAAGCTAGCTTTTTATCTCCCAAGTTGTTCTATCTTTTTAAAATCCAAATTTGGCCTTCAGGGCTCCTTTTACAAAATTCCTCCAGCTTACCGCAGTGGTCAGTCAATAAAACCTGTTCCTTCCCGCCTCTGCTTTTATTTTGTGTGTTTTCAGCTGGCGTCAAATTCAGAGTCCTACAGCAGGAAGCTGGCAAACCTCTTCGACTTCTAATGCAGGTAAATCCTCGTACTTTTTCTCGGATTCTTTGGAGAAGGTGCTCATATTCAGAATACCTTGCAGCTCTCTCCTACCATCAACACATACTCGCACTTCATTTACTATTACTAGTATCCTAGTAATATGAGCCATGGTGGCGCAGTGGTTAAAATGCAGTATTGCAGGCTAAATTCTGCCGACTGCCAGCAATTCGACCCTGACCGGTTCAAGTTTGACTCAGCCTTCCATCCTTCTGAGGTCGGTAAAATGAGGACCCAGATGGTTGGTGGGGCAATATGCTGACTCTGTAAACTGCTGAGAGAGGGCTGTGAAAGCAGTGTGAAGCGGTATATAAGTCTAAGTGCTACTGCTATTGTTCTCCTTCTGGGGCTCCATGGAATAATCATGGAAGGACTGCTGTGTTGTTTCCGTTAAGTAGGGCTATCACAATTGGACTGTAAGAATTTGCCTGAGCGTTAGGTGGAAGCAAGGAACCAGCCGTTGTGGGGGATTCTGGGAGCTGAAGTCCACATCTTACTTAAAGTTGCCAAGGTTGAGAAGCACTGCCTCAGCCTCAAGATATTGTATCAATAGATTGTACAGTATTTAATTAAACAGTAGCGTATGTTACTGAAACCAATACAGATATTTCTCTTCTTACCTGTTATACATTAAGGGCACCATATTAACAAGGATGGCCCTGTCCAGTTGAACAGATATTTCCTTGAAAAACTTTCCACCTTTTTTTTTCTGATTTGAAACCAACTGGAAAATAAATGTACAAAACAGGCAATTGGCTTTCAAACCTGACGTCTTTAAAAAGAAGCTATGCGTGCTCAAACGTTTCACTGTCAGGCCAATTGCCAGATTAATCAGAAAGAACGAGGAGATATTTTATTGGATCAAGTGGCCTTCTGTGAAATTGCACGGGAAGCTATTTCCAGATTTCTGCGCAGTTTGACCAGCCTGCCATCCGAAAGCCACTTCTTTGGATAAATTATTAGGTTCCACACGCTTGGGAGAGGCCAGAAGAAACAGATCCGGCTGCATTATTTTTGGATTGCGTTCAATTTGAGTACAGCTCAATTCTCAAATGCTGAGCCAAGCTTATATGGAAGTGGTTTGCTGGATCGGGGCCAGAAAATATACCATATTGTAAAGGGGGGGGCCTAATAGAACTGCAAACAGTAAACATTTCGGTTGTGTAGCGATATTAATCTGCTGAGTGCCATGTCCTCAAAAGAAGCCTCTTTGGGCTACTTTTAGTAAATTCCTTCTATAAAAATCACACTCTTATCGCTGACACCTAGGCTTTCTTCTTTGCGCAGTTATAACACAAGGTTTACTTGAGTTACTATTTTTATTTGTGCGTTTTGGTATTGTTACGTCAGTTGGGCTTCTTTTTCTAAGAGTGGGAAGATGAATCATCAGACTGTTAAGAAATAGCTTGATTTAAAGGCTGGCTTGGGAACCGGTTCTCAAAGTAGACCCTCTTTATTTAGGAAAGGCCGTAACCACAATCACGCCTCTTGATCAAGCCACGCAAGCTGCATTGCGATTTTTCTTGTACAGATAGTCCCCGACTTACGGACCACAGTTCAGGCCAAAATTTCTGCCGCTAAATTCACTTCATCGGTTAAGCGAAATTTTGCCCCATTTTACCACCTTTCTTCACCCAGGTGGTTTAAACCAGGGGTCTCCAACCCCAGGTCTGTGGGCCAATACCGGTCCGTGGCATGCCAGCAACCGGTCCGCACAAACAAGCAAAACTCCATCCGCGGGATGCAGGCAGCACACAAAACCACACCCTCTCTGGTCCACGGAAAAACCTCTCTCCACGGAACCGGTCCCTGGTGCCCAAAAGGATGGAGACCTCTGGTTTAAATGAGTCCCTGCGGTTGTGACGTGAATAACGTGGTCGTTAAGCGAATCTGGCTTCCCCGTCGATTTTGCTGGTCAGAAAGTCGCAAAAGGGACACGGCAACCGTGTCATAAATATGAGTCCGTTGCTAGGTGGGTGAATTTTGATCAGATGGCCGTGGAGCTGCTGCAACAGTCGTTGATGTGAAAAAACAATTGTACGTCACTTTTTTTCAGTGCCGTTGTAACGGGGAACGGTCACTGAATGGGCTGTTTGTAAGTCGAGGACTGCCTGTACACCGTTTGCCTGCTCCTGATTTACTCACCGTGAATGTCTTTTCCTACGTCTTCTCAACCTGCCAGATCAACCCTCTCCCTTACGGCCGCGTGGTGCAGCTCTATAGGCTTCCAACCTATAGTTGCTACCCCAAAGACTCCTGGACGTCTCTGTGCAAGAAGCTGTTTGTCGGGGAACTCATTTACCCTTGGAAGCACAAGGAGGAGAAGCAAGACTGACGGGGACGACTGAGAAAAGCTCCGGAGAGCCCCAAGACCACCTTGGGCAGCTCAGCCGGGTTGGAAGCAGCTCTTGCCAATCGCACCTTCTTTTTGACTTCCGTTGTCAAGAACTGGAGGGTAGGAAGTTTCTACAGAGACAGCAAATTCCTCACTCGGCTGTTGCCACCACCACCACCAGCAGCAGCTGTCCTTTTTTTGATCCCGTCCTCTGATTTAACCTGCCTTTAGAACTGCTTCTCTGGAAACATCGGGGTACGGGATCGCCAGCTGTGCTTTCAAGGGTTCGGGGGCCTGTGGTGATTCTGCCAGGCACACAAACACACACACACACACACACAATCGCCCTGCATGGTATCTGCATGAGTATTTAAAATGGGAAATGGCGTTAGGCTTCCATTTGTCCCTTCCATTGCTCAGGAATGGTCTCTAATAAGAGAAAGGCGGGATACGTGCGTTGCATGCAAGCAAAAGCGGGCCTCAGCCTCTCCTGGGAAAAGTGTCTTCTTGGCAGGGGTTGTGAAAAGATTCCGCTCCCCAAAGGATTCAGGCTAGCCAGGACAGGAAGAGGAACAAAGCTATCGGGCATGCCAGAGGAGACGAGTGTTCGAAGCCATGGTGACCTCATGTGTTTGAACAGGGGTCTCCAAACTTGGCAACTTTTACGCTTTGTGAACTTCAACTCCCAGAATTCCCCAGACAGCCATGCTGAGAGTTGAAGCCCACGGGTATTAAAATTGGCAAGTTTGGAGAGCCCTGGGTTGGAACATCCATGCAACTTTACTTTTATATAAATGACACCGAAGGCCATTTTTCCTGAAATCGTGACACACGTAGCATCGCTCACAGAGGAGAAGGATCAGTATTCTGATATAAGAATACAGAACAACAGAGTCGGGAAGAGGAGGAGGAGACCCTACTACACCACGCCAGAGAAATAGCTGCCCAATCTCTTCTTAAAAACCTCCAGGGTTGAAGTACCCACAACTTCTGGAGGCAAGCCCTTCCACTGGTTAATTGTTCTCACTGTCAGGAATTCCACTCCTCCTCTATCGTCACCACCCCATCTTGTGTGAACTCAATCAATCATGGTTTATTCAGACCACAGTAAACGGGCACGTGATATGAACACAGCCATACCTTGTTTCAGCACACATTAAATTTGCAACTTCAACCCACCGGACAGTGGAGGTGTTCCCTTTGTCCTCGTAAAAATTCTATCCCCATTCCTTGCATCGAGGGACGAGAGGAGGGGGGGATTTGCACGCTGAATTTCTCAGTATCCTTTAAGAGGAAGGAAATCTTGCAAACCTGATCAAAGTCTTCCCATTCTCCTTTTATCAGCTGTCTAACATAATATTGGGAGGTGGGTGGGAAGGGGTCTGCTTTAAACCCTTTTCTTTTTCCATTGCTTTCCCCAGATCTCTCTCTCTCTCTCTCTCTCTCTCTGTGTGTGTGTGTGTGTGTTTCTCTGTTCCTCTCTCTGTCTTTCTCTGTTTCTCTGTCTCTCTTCTCTCTCTGTCTCTTTCTCTCTCTGTTTCTCTCTCTCTCTCTCTTTCTCTCTCTTTTCTCTCTCTGTGTGTGTGTGTTTCTCTCTCTGTTCCTCTCTCTGTCTCTCTTTCCTCTCTCTCTCTCTGTTTCTCTGTCTCTCTTCTCTCTCTGTCTCTTTCTCTCTCTGTTTCTCTCTCTCTCTCTCTTTCTCTCTCTTTTCTCTCTCTCTGTGTGTGTGTTTCTCTCTCTGTTCCTCTCTCTGTCTCTCTTTCCTCTCTCTCTGTTTCTCTCTCTCTCTCTCTGTCTCTTTCTCTCTCTCTGTTTCTCTTTCTGTCTCTCTCTGTCTCTTTCTCTGTCTCTCTTTGTCTCTCTCTTTTCTCTCTGTTTCTCTGTATCTCTCTGTCTCTCTTTCTCTCTTTCTCTGTCTCTCTCTGTTTCTCTCTCTCTCTCTCTCTCTGTCTCTTCTGCATTCTTTGAGCTTCTTGTTTTCCCCTGCTCCCTTCTGTCATACATCACTGGCAGTATTATCCATTGCAGCCTTTTCTTCTACAGTCCTATAGCTTTTAACAAGAAAGAAAAGCTTTTTAACAAGAAGAAGGCTGGGCAAAGGGACACGGTAAAAGGAGATGATCCCAGCCAGAAAGCTGCTCTTTTCATTTTTCTTTTGTCAATACCACCACGAGCTGATGTTGTTTTAGAGCAGATAATTTGGGCCCCCTGGCTTATGTGGAGCAGCATAAATTTGGCAGGAGTGTCTTCCAACATTCCTAGCGTGTCTTTGTGGGATTCTTTCCACCAATGTTGAGTATAATATCCCCAAACAGAAAGCATTTCACACATGTTATCATATTTGAGCCCAGAACAGAACTATGGATAATCCTTGTTCTCCGTGAACATACCAATATAATCGTTTCTGGATATGTATCCTACTTTTTTTCACATGGGTGTTCTTCTAGTTTAGAGAATAACAGAATATAATCTCCAGAACCTCTGCAGAGAGCAAAGCTTTTGATAAGTTGACCTTACACCAGTGGTTCTCAACCTTTTTAATGCCATGACCCCCAACCGGTCGTAAGTCGAGGACTACTCAACTGGTGCAGCACCGTTTGCAGAATGGGACTTTTGGCGGGCTTAGCAGGGCAGAGACTGCCTGGACAATTCCTATTGGCTTTTGAAAACCAATAGAATTAGACTCTATGGGGTCCCGACCCACAGGTTGAGAACCACTGCCTTACACCAAGTGGTCAAGCTATACGTTTTGGCAACGCTTTGATAGGGTGGCACCTTGGGGGAGAAAGGAAACATTTTGGTACATGATAAACCTAGAAGAGGACTTAACCTGATTACTTTTGCTTCCCCCCCCCACCCAAAAAAATGAAGCAAAAATAAAGCTACCAAAATGAGGTGGGCTTCAACTGACTTTCAATCTCTTACATCCAAACTAAAAGAGAACATAAAAGCTAATATCAATATTTCATAAATACTACAGCCAATTTTTCTAGGCCTAGGGGATTTTTTCGCAACCACTGGGGGGGTGTAGGGAGAGACAAATATATTCATGGGGCAGTTCATTAACCAACTGGCCACAGATAGTCCTTGACTTACAATCATTCATTTAGTGTCCATTTGAAGTTGCAAGCATTCTTTAGTACAAGTCTTGCAATAAAAACCTGGAACTGGCCAAATAAAGGATGTCATTACGGTTTTACGCACGTCCTGGTTGCCGGGGTGAAAAATTATGTGCTTCCTTCAAGAAAGCTGGAACATTTCTTCCTCCTCTGCCAACAAACAATAACCCTGCAGATCTAAATTCCCACAAGTTCTGTCAAAGGTGAATTAATGTGGCTGGTGGCAGCTGTTGTTTAATTAAGAAGAAGCCCTTGGAAAACATCCATCAAGAGTCTGGACAGGATGAAGAAGGCTTTTGAGTCACCAGTCTTCCCTTTGTGCTGAGATATATTCAAATTATTGTAACAGTTTCTGAATTGGTCTCTCTCTCTCTCTCTCTCTACACACACACACACACACACAGTCTCTGTTTCTCTGTCCTCTCTCTCATCTAGGTCGTCTGTTTATCATTACCTATCTGTCTGTCTGTCTATATCTATCATCTACACACACACACACACACACACACACACACACACAGTCTGTTTCTCTGTCCTCTCTCATCTAGGTCTGTCTATCATTACCTATCTGTCTGTCTATATCTATCATCTATCTATCCATCCATCATCTCTCTCTCTTAAATTAATATGTCCACCTATCTCCCCGAACATGACCTGGGTGGCATACAACCAGCAATTAAAACAATTATCACAGTTGTTTAAAAAGAAATATATAAATAAAAGGAAGCTTGTGGGAGAAGAATGTTCATTTCAGCATAATGTAACCATCATACAAGCTGCCCCACAGACCCTTTGGGGCAGTGATGCCATCAAGGTAAAACTTTAGAATCCAAGCTTGGAAACACCCCCCACACACACACACACACCAAATGAATAGGAGAGCCCCTAGACAAAATAGGGCTGGGTGTTACGGTTTTAATTAAGGGCATAAGCGACATACATGCAGTTTGAGTTTGCGATTTATACTATGTTAAGCATCCTTAGCAGTTTCTATACTATCACAAGTAGCTACTGTAATGGCACGTTCAGAAACTGTAAACGCCATGATGCTCTAGATCCCGTGTTTATTTACTTAACATTTCTATTTTACTCTTTTATTCTTTTTACATACATCAGCACTATCCTTCCTCCTTTCCCCTTCTTTGTCTTGTCCTTCCTTCCCTCCTTCTTGGATAGACAGATGATAGATTGATAGATGATAGATAGATAGATAGATAGATAGATAGATAGATAGATAGATAGACAGACAGACAGATAGATCAAACAGACAGATAGGAGAGATAGGTGAGACAGATAGACAGATAGGAGAGATGATAGACAGATGAGACAGATTAAATAGACAGATAGAAATAAATAAATAGAGATAGATAGATAGATAGATAGATAGATAGATAGATAGATAGATAGATAGATAGATCAAACAGACAGGAGAGATGATAGGTGAGACAGACAGATAGGAGAGATGATAGACAGATGAGACAGATTAGATAGATAGACAGATAGAAATAGATAGATAGATAGATAGAGATAGATAGATAGATAGATAGATAGATAGATAGATAGATAGATCAAACAGACAGATGATAGGTGAGACAGACAGATAGGAGAGATGATAGACAGATGAGACAGATTAGATAGATAGACAGACAGAGATAGAGATAGATAGATAGATAGACAGACAGATAGACAGACAGACAGAGGCAAAAGTAGGGCAGCAGATCTCCAGAGTCCCTGAAGGAGGGACCAAAACACAGAGATGAAAGGGAAAGTTCTCTTTTTGCCATTTTCCACCTTTCCATCTTCGATGGAGACCTCAAGGCAGAATTGCTAACCCAGGAAGATCAATTTACTTTTTTTTTTTTTTTGCCTTCTCCTCCATGCAGGAAATTCTTCCTCGAAACCCCGATCCCCGTTTGATCATAGTTCCCTTGGCATTCTGAACGCCAACGGGGGGGGGGGAGGCTGCCATCTTCCAGCGAAAGCCTTAGAGCGGAAAAGCTCAAGGGGGTTGAATTATTCAAGGAGACCGAACTCAAAAGCATGTTAAATTTCTTCCCGTGTGTGTGTGTGTGTGTGTGTGTGTGTGTGTGTGTGTGTTCAGGAGTGGGTGGGGTTGCCCGAGCAGTAACTTGCCTTGTAGAATTTGAGGGTCATCATGAGGACTATGAAAAGAAGAAGCAGGGATCCCTTGAAAGCGTATGTGTGTGTGGGGGGGGGGGTGTTAAATTAAGAATTGCTGTGGGAGAAATGGATTGGCTGGAGATGGTGGTTTAATTTTTTTTTTTTTTAATCGCTCTGCATCAACAAGATCACAAGAAGCGATAATATCGCTTTATACCTCACTCCTGAGGCCACACTTGGAATACAGCATCCTGTTGTGGTCCTCACCATACACCAAAGACGCTGAGAACCTAGCCTGGACTCTAGAGCAGCAGTTCTCAACCTGTGGGTCGGGACCCCATTTGGGGTCGAACGGCCATTTCACGGGGGCCGCCAAACAAGGCTGTCTGCCATTTTTTCCCCCTTTGGCCACGCCCCTGGCACCCGGTGATGTATATGTGGTTGGGGGTCACCACAACATGGGGAACTGTATTATGGGGTCGCGGCATTAGAAAGCTTGAGAACCACTGCTCTAGAGAGAGTGCAGAGAAGACCACCAAAGATGATAAGGGGTCTGGGGGCTAAACCACATGATGAAAGGTTGCAGAACTAAGTATGTCTAGCCTAAAAAAAGAGAAGGTTTAGGGGGGACATTCTAACTGTCTTCCAGTATTTGAAGGACTGTCACAGAGAAGAGAGGATTGACTTATTCTCCAAAGCATCTGAGGGCAGGACAAGAAGTAATGGGTGGAAGCTTGTTAAAGAGAGATCCAGCCTAGAACAAAAGAGAAATCTTCTGACAGTGAAAATGTTTAATCAGTGGAGATGGAATAAGAATAAGAATAGAATAGAATAGAATAGAATAGAATAGAATAGAATAGAATAGAATAGAATAGAATAGAATAGAATAGAATAGAATAGAATAGGAGCTGGAAGGGACCTTGGAGATCTTGTAGTCC